CCAGCCTTAGTTATACTGGACGAGGACGATACTGCGATAAAAAAACGCGTTCCGAAAATGTTCCACCCACACTAGTTGGGTACTTGAGAGTCAATATCTTCTTTCTAACTTGCTAGTTTGCAAAAAAACTTACCGATTTAGGCCAGGGCATAGCTACTGCACTTCTTCCTGACGCCAACCGTATTCAGCACAGAAGTTATTCATCGTTCAGCCAAAGACATAACGTTATTCATAATGACATAATTATGTCATAATTCAGCCAAAGTTCGACATAAAGACATAATGCACATAATCAGTGTAAGACTTTTAGTACTGAGAAGTACTAGAAGTCAGACAATTCCTTGGATCACACGATCAGTGATCACAAAAGCGGGCACAGTACCATTATGTAGTGCCGCATAGTGGCAGACCATAGGCTGCTATTGATGGATCGAAGACACAGTCGCCGTAAAATCTTTACTACATTTACATAACTTGGGCATACATTTAAAATGAGGAACACTACTCCTGTTCACATTCATTGATCTTGGTACAGGCAAGGCGTACGATTAACTCTCACGTTACTAGTGTGTGTTCTTGTTTCGAGTCAACGACATGTGGAACAGCCTTCCTACCTGATGATATTGTTTACGATCTGAATATGAACGCGTTCAAGAACAGACTAGACAAGGCTAGGCAGGAGCAAATGTTTACTCTTGAAATGCCTTGTACCCTACGGAACAACAAAGTCAAGAAACGCTTTAAAACCACCGTCCATTGAAAAGATTTAATCAAAAGAACTATTTTTTAGATCTGTGAACAAGTCACGCGAAGTACAAGAACCGGCGACAGGCCTTTCCATGCCTATTCTTCTAGGCCGAAGATAATATACTATACCACTACTATACTATGTGCTACAAGTGGAACACAGAACGCCTCCTGCAGGTGTTCATACAGATTCCTACTATCCACACCATCTGATCTCAACTCGTAAGTTTTCTGAAACATTCGTTATATTATAATTCACATTTATAATTATTTCACAAATTTAGAACATCAGACCCCACTCACACCTGACCCCACACACACCGGGCCCCACACACACCGGACCCCACACACACCGGACCCCACACACACCGGACCCCACACACACCGGACCCCCTGTCTCTTATACACATCTAGNCCCACACACATCAGACCCCACACACACACATCAGACCCCTCACACATCAGACTATATCGTCTGCCGCGCTAGTACACAATTCAAGTCCGTCACGCAGTCACCGTTTCTTGCCCGTTTGCGGCATCGTCCGCAGAATGTTCTGTCGGGCGTAACTCGGATGTAGTTAGTTTGCGGACGGAGCCCGCCGTAGAATACGGCCCTCGATGCGGAATATGCCCTGCTACGGGCGCCGTGAGTTACAACTGAAGTTACGAGCAGCACCGCCAGTACGAGAACACCAGCGATCTTGATGCCCATCTCGAGTCCCGACTTGTGTTCTGCAGGGAGGAAATACTTCAGAACAAACATTGAAGTTACTCAATGAAGCTACTCAATGATTCAAGGTATATTTATGAATCCTATAAACGGATGTAAAGCGTGCAAATTAAATTTATTCATTGTACCGACTTAGATGCATAGAATACAAATTCAGTTCTATGGGTTCAGTCAACAGGGCTAAGCTCTGCTCGAATCGAGCTACCAACAACTGGAATGTCGTGTCGTATACGTCACTTAAATTTGCCGTAAATCGCTGAAGGTTGCCGTATTTGTTGATCGCAAGGGTGTAATTGATATCATTTTCTTAGTAAATGTTGCGCTGCTATATGTATGTGATCAATAATTTTATGCAATAATCTTGTCCCATTAGTTGAACCCTTTGTGATAGATATTAGCCTCGTTGAACATTCTTCCTTGATCCAGAACTATTTTTGATTTTTTTTATAAATCTGAATACATGTCTTACTAAATTCTGGGTTATTAAATTGTATAAATAGTGCAAGTTCATTAAGCCAAAAATCCTTCCGTGACTTAGTTAATTGCATAGTGATTTTGAAGCATGCTAGTTACTCGAGTTCGAACTCATGCCAAGTAGTACGACTGAGCACGTCTGTAAGATTTAGTTTGGAAATAATTTTCACTACCACAGCTGCATTAACTAAATGATGACTTATCCAACATTGCTCTAAGAGTCTAAGTAAATTTCGCAAATATTTAAAGCCCGAATCTTTTCAATTGTTTAGTGTTCGCGCAACCCTTGTTAGGATTTAGTTCAGTGGTTCCCAAAGTGGGCGATATCGCCCCCCTAGGGGCGGTGGAAAGATTTTGGGGGTCGATAAGGAAGAAGAGGTCGGTAGGGGGGCGATATGGGGGGCGGCTGTCCAAAGTCAATGTCAGAAGTTCGAACGTTGGTTAGACGATTTGTACACAACACGTGCAGCACATGACTCCCAGCGATGGTTTTTNTTCATCTTTTAAAATTTCAGCGTACTAAATTTCAAGAGAGTGGCGTATGTCTGTGGGGGGCGCTAGAAATTCACTAGGGGGCCAAAGGGGGCGCCAGCCTGAAAAAGTTTGGGAACCACTGATTTAGTTCAATACAGATTGTGATTTCCCTAGATCATTAATCGCCGAACTTCCTCGAACGGGTCTTAGATAAACTTTATAATTTCTTATCTCGTTGAGAATAAGCAACATTGTTGCTATCATCTTACCAGCATTTTTATTGTGTGTTTATTTCTAAAAGTCAAGGAAATGCAGTTTTCGCTGTCGATCCACAAATTTACTACAGTAAACGCCACCAAATGTCTTCTCGAAGAAGCTCATCTCAACCGGAACGAACATTCGCGCAAACTAAGAATGAACTGAACTAGAATTCAGTTCCTTGTATGTGTGAAAAATTAGTTCTGATAACTTGAGCCTGAATCATCTTGTGAGGATTTGAATGAGATGCTCATTGGTAAGAATCCTCAGGTGTTCTTTACTAAAATAATTGTACGGTAACATCGATATAAACATTGCCGTTACCCATAAAATACGTTTTTTAAAATAGTAACTCGTATTAGAAGGATAGACCAAATCAAAAATAAATAAATTTGAAGCATTTACGTGTCCAAAGTGAACACTTGCCATCACTTGCTGATAACATTGGATTTCTTTCGTATTATATTCCATTTTTGTCGAGCAAGGAAATATTTACAACAAATCTTGGAAAACCTCACGCGCTGAAGTAAGAAATTGAGTTATAGCCTCACTTACTTCAAACTTATCTACTAACAACTTAAAGTTACGAGGAATTGACATATATCCTGCGTACAGAACTTTGCTCTGATGATGATATTATGAAAGTTTTTGCGTTGTCTCAATAAGAAGCTCGTTAGTTGCGTTGCACAATTATTTTAAAATAAGCCACATCAGGCCTACACTTCAGCGCCGACATCACTATGTTATGTGTTAAAATAATGTTATGTTATGTTATGTCTCACTTTTAGTTATGATTCACAGTTGCTTTAAAAAAACACAGTTCCTCAGTAGTGTTGCGCAGTTTCTCTTGCGTTACATAAATGTTTTAAATAGAGTTCTGTGGTCCTCAGCTGTGTCATGCACTTATTAGCTTGTAGAAATGTTTCAAGGTCGTCCGTTGACAGACTTCTACGTTTGTTTGATATTAAGTTAACTTTCTGCGTGAATGTCGAATTAAATTTATGATTATCTTAAAGACATTAATGAATGAAAGAAGAAGAATTTTTTTTCCAAACTACTGAACAGATTATTATTAACTCGCAAACGAAAGCAAAATGGAAAAATTGTCACGAGCTAAACATCACTGTTGAGAGGTTAAAAACTCCGGTTTATATATGAATGATTTAGAATGTATAAGTAACCCTCAGCCTTCCACTGGCCCGCCTGATGAGACACTGATGCCGGCCGCGCGGAGCAGACTGTCCTAATTCTTGATGAAATTATTAACAAATATTCTGAGAAAACAAGAAATTCACTTGAAAAAAATTCACTTCACTTTGATGGCTTGAAAGTAATGATTTATATCCAATCAGCGCGACTTTTTCTTGGCATGCTTCCTACGTAAATGCATCAACTGCAAGTAAATGCAAGTTTTCTTTAGAAATAAATTTTAGCGATGTCAAGAAGTTTCTGCATATCTGGCAACACTGCTCTGTTAAATGATTAGGCAGTAATCATTTAACTAATTAATTTTTATTTTACTTCTCTTGAATACTTCAAAATTTGCTAGGGGCGAGATAAAAGATTAACACTAGAACGTGAATAATGAAAAGACAGCGAGCAATGAGAAGCTTCACCGGAAAGACTCAATGTGACCTGCAGTGAAGAGAATAACAATGGCCACTGTAAATGTTAGGAATTATCGCTGTAGAGAATAGGAATTATATCAGTAGATTATAACACAAATCGTTGTAGATAATACGAATGACGGTTTAAATTAAAATGAATGATCATTACACCTGAAAGGATTTGTAACAGGGAAAACTTCCGATGATAACAGCAATACCCGTATTCAAAAAGTGAAAAACATGTCGTAAATAACAGGATTCCGGTGTTGTCAGATAGCAGCTCATCCTGAACGTCAACGAACTATTTTCTTGCCGCCGTAGCGGTTGAGCTCAAGTGGCAGAAGACGACATTCCAACAGAACTTTTGGAAATAAGGAATATTCGCAATATTTATTAACGTCAGAATCTGCCTCTAACTAAAGACAAAATTTCCTACAATCAAGTTTTCAATCAGAAAGATGATTGTTAGCAAGATTTAATTATCAGGGACTTTATTCTTAGTTATAAAATGTAATGCTTGGATTTCACTACAACCGCTCAGCATTTGACATTCTTGAGCGAATATTACAGTATACACCAGACTGCTCATCTCTGAGACCGCATTTTCCCAAATAAGTCTCATCGAATGTTGGTTGTACAAATTAAAGATCAAATAATGGATGAGTAAGAAACAGGATCCTATTAAAGGATGAGGTAAATCAAACGTTTTCTGACTAGAATATTTAATGTAGTACGTTTTCTAAGTGTAATAATCGTTACATCGTTTTCTCTATGCACAAAAGAACTTGCAACGAAAATTACTGCAGTGATATTTCTCACTACAAATCTACAGGAATCAGAAACGTCTCCCTAAACTCTGCATTGTAACAAAACAAATCTCACCACAATCAACGTTTATGTTACTTGATTACAGAGCTGCTGTTTTTACACCATCGAGGCGAGTAACGTCGTAACGGCATACAGATTTCGAGCGCAAATTCCAATTTCGTAATTACTTTATATTGGATATTTTATACTCGGATGCATCTAGTGAGAAAAGTCATCATGAGTTTGCATGCAAGTAACAAGTATGGAAGTTTCACGGCCATATTTCTGTGTTCAGTAAACAAAATTATGCTTGCCCATGAGGCAGTTGAGGTTCCTCACGCACTCGCCAGTCGAGGATCGCTGCCAGCAGTTCCCCTCGTCGCAGCCTCCGGGCGGGCCGATGTGGCCGAACATTTCCCCCAGATGATGCAGCAGGGGCAGAACCGCTGCCAGGTTCACCCTCCGGTTCTCAGAGATCAGGTTCGTGCTTTTCAAGATTTCGTTCAAAGATGAAATTGAACCAATTTCGCGCTTCTGTACGCGAGGCTTCGATGCATGTGAATTCCGATTTTTAATTTGGAAATTCACATTACTTGCAGAGCCTTTGGCAAGTCCATGTGTTTTAGTCGTCGATGTTATTTCCTTCGAGGATTCTTCGTCAGAAACTTCTGTTGTTTCGTAGAAATTATTCGCCGCTTGATTCACTTCATGCTTTTTGCCTTCGGTCGACATAATGTCTTCATGAATGCGACCTTTTGTTGACACCAACGGCCAGCCATCGGCACCCTGAGCAACCGGAGTGCAGGTCGCAGAGGCGAGCGCGCAGCACAAGACCAGCGCTCTGACGAACATCCCTCGGGTTTTCCGAAATTTTCTTTGAACAAATATCAAAGATGTATTCTATACAGCGTTCAAGATAACTGAGTTCAAACTTGGAACAGTTTGTGGTTTTCGAAAGTTTTCTATTAACAAGATTCAAAGTTAGGGAGACCTCTAAAACTTTATATAATTATTCAAGTCTTGAAGGCAGTGCAGGGCAGTTGAACTGAAAAAAATATAAAAGTAAATATCAGACAATAATTCTTGTAATTTCCCGAATGCACTTCATGCTCTTTGCCTTTGGTCGACATGATGTCTTCATGAATTCGACGTTTTGTTGACACCAACGGCCAGCCATCGGCACCCTGAGCAACCGGAGTGCAGGTCGCAGAGGCGAGCGCGCAGCACAAGACCAGCGCTCTGACGAACATCCCTCGGCTTTCCCGAACTTTTCTTTTAACAAAAATCAAAGGTTAAACGATGTATTCCAACCGCGTCCAAGATAACTGAGTTCAAACTTGGAATCCTTTTGGGGGTTTTCGAAAGCTTTCAATCAACAAGATTCAAAGTTAGGGCGATATCTAAAACTTTATTTTAATTATCTGAGTCTTGATGGCAGAGCTGGGCAGTTGAATTGAAAAATTAAAATATAAAAAAATATCAGACATTAATAATTCTTGTAATTTTCCGAATGCTCTTTAGAAATATCTGTGGAAATGAAGCTGGCTAAATAACCACAAGGCGTCACGGCGAAACACACAATGTTACTATAAACTTAAATAATAAATGTCATCTTTTAAGCACAAAAGATATGCTCTTTAATGTATTTTCAAAGCACCACAAAATATTTCAGACTCGTACGCACCGATGTTATTTAGTGTGGAGCGTAAAGAGAGCAGCTGAGGTACGCGTGAGCTGCCTCGCAGGATTAGAATGCGAGATGCCGTGCGCCGGCCGTCCATTTATACGCATTTGTTGCACTCACATCGACAAGACGAGCATCTGTAACGTCGCACTTTATTTAGCTCGGAAAATAACCTTCTCCTTATTCGTATGAAACGCAGCTATCGCGGCAACGCTACGTCATATTTACGCGATTACGCAACGTCCACGCCTTTCCTGTGACGCCAAGATTCTCGTAACACTGCCGCCTCTGCGCCGGCCATGATTTCCTAAGAAATGAATTGTGAGCATTACGCTCCTATACTTTATACTGTGAGCATTACGCTCCTACTTTTGCATCTCATTACACTTCTCCTTGCGCTCCTTGCACTCCTTACCTTTTTCTACGCTCCAACTTCCGCATCTCCTTCCACTTCTTCTTACGCTCCTACTAACGCAGCTCTTAGCGCATCGCATTACGCATTTCATTACACTTTTTTTTACGCTTAGACTTACACTCCGACTTAAACCAATCCTTACACTCCGACTCACGCTCCGACTTATTCTTCTTACGCCTCGCATTACGCGTTACTCAGCGCCGCGCATGCCGCCATCAGCACAACTTTCTTGCTGCTTCCCATGATTCTTTGATGCGACGTCGTGCATGCTACTAATGTCGTGCATGCTACTAATGTCGTGCATGCTACTAATGTCGTGCATGCTACTAATGTCGTGCTTGCTACTAATGTCGTGCATGCTACTAATGTCGTGCATGCTACTAATGTCGTGCATGCTACTAATGTCGTGCATGCTACTAATGTCGTGCATGCTACTAATGTCGTGCACCTCACCGTGCGATCATCCGGGCATCACACTCAATGGTCAGACATGCAAATGATCGTCCTTATGATGCACGATGAATTAATCATATTTAAAGATTAATAATAAAGATTGGAATACGTCTCTCCGCGCTTATTGTCATGTCTTTGTAAGAGTTCTAATAAACAGATTGAAAATATATATAACTGTGCATGAGAATCAGCATGTTATTATAACGAGTTATTATAATATTATTGCAGCCGTAGATTGTGATATGTCGTTTTCAGTACTAACTACTGAAAATTTCCCCATGTAGAAGTAGGCAAGGCCAATTGCAAAGAAATTTTTGCCTCTATACATGGTTGCACCGCGGCAGCGCGGTGCCAGCACTGTTTGGTACGGCGTACGGGACTATTACCTTGATTTTTATCTTGATTATTTATCCATTTTTTTAATATTTCTGTTGAAATATTGTGCTTGTATCAATCATTCTATTTTTTGTATAGTTTACAATTTGTTCAAGTGAATGCTTTCAGAATACGTTTGCGTTACGTCCAATAAAATGAAGACATTCGCAGAAGTATTTGACATCCTGCGACGAGTTTATTCATCAGTGACGGAAAGCGATACGACAGACGGCAGATAAATTATTGCTATTGTATCAGTCGTATCTAATTATTATAACAAAACACTATTTTTTCGAGCAACATACGGTCTGACCAAGCAAGACCTTGCGCGCATAACTAGATCTTAGAACTATACGTCACGATTCTGTTTATAGACTTCATGGTATTGGCATCTCCTGCGTAATTGAGTGAGTTCTTCATGCACAATTCCTCGACGCTTGCGGGCTCCTTTCTAGGAAACAGATCGCGGTTGCCCAACTTTCTGGGCACTCGCGGCTGAAAAACTGGCAGACCGGCAGCCCGATCCCATCATGGGGAAACGACCATGACCGTGTTGGCTAATGTTTCTTTCTTGACCGTATTGGCTGGTGTTTCTTGACCGTGTTGGCTGGGGTTTCTTGACCATGTTGGCTAGTGTTTCTTGACCATGTTGGCTATAGTGTTTCATGACCGTGTTGGCTGGGGTTTCTTGACCATGTTGGCTAGTGTTTCTTGACCGTGTTGGCTAGTGTTTCTTGACCATGTTGGCAAGTGTTTCTTGACCGTGTAATCTAGTGTTTCTTGACCGTGTTGGCTAGTGTTTCTTGACCATGTTGGCTAGTGTTTCTTGACCGTGTTATCAGTATTTCCTGACCGTTTTTGCTAGTGCTTCTTGACCGTATTGCTTAGCTTTTCTTGATCGTGTTGGCTAATGTTTCTTGACCGTGTAATCTAGTGTTTCTTGACTGTGTTGGCTAGTGTTTCTTGTCCATTTCGCTAGTGTTTCTTGTCCATTTCGCTAGTGTTTCTTGACCGCGTTGGCTAGCGTTTCTTGACCATGTTGGCTAGTGTTTCCTGACCGTGTTGGCTAGTGTTTATTGACCGTATTACTTAGCTTTTCTTGATCTTGTTGGCTAATGTTTCTTGACCGTGTTAGCTAATGTTTCCTGACCGTATTGACTAGTATTTCTTGACCGTGTTCTCAGTATTTCTTGACCGTGTTGGCTAGTGTTTCTTGACCGTATTGCTTAGCTTTTCTTAATCGTGTTGGCTAATGTTTTTTGACCTTTTGGCTGGTGTGTTTTGACCGTGTTGCTAGTGTTTCTTGGCCGTGTTGGCTAGTGTTTCTTGACCGTGTTGGCTTGTGTTTCTTGACAATGTTGGCTAGTGTTCTTGACCGTGTTGGCTAGTGTTTCTTGAACGTGTTGGCTAGTGTTTCTTGATCGTGTTGGCTAGTGTTTCTTGACCGTGTTGGCTAGTTTTTCTTGATGATGCTGTTTAGTGTTTCTTGACCGTGTTAGCTAGTGTTTCTGGACAGGGTTGGCTAGCTTTTCTTGACCGTGTTGGCTAGTGTTTCTTGACCGTGTTGGCTAGTGTTTCTTGACTGTGTTCGCTCTATAGTGTTTTTTGACAATGTTAGCTAGTGTTTCTGGACCGTGTTGGATAGTGTTTCTTGAGAACGTGTTGGCTAGTGCTTCATGACCGTGTTGGCTAGTGTTTCTTGAACGTGTTGGCTAGTGTTTCTTGACCGTGTAGGCTAGTATTTCTAGACCGTGTTGACTCGTTTTTTCTTAACGCTAAATTATTTCATATAGACCAAAGTCGGAGACTCTGTTCCACTAAGACGAACAAACGAGTATGAATTTATTTAGTAGAAGTTAATAATTTTTGATGGAGTTTCTTTGTAACTTCATTCCCTGACGTTGTTATGATAGAAGCTGCCACCATCGATGGCGTCGCTGTTAAAATATTATTTCAATTATATTAGCAATATTAAAACATCGCAGTTTAGAGGAACTCCCATCAGAAAGACGTTATTGAATGTTTGACTTTGAAAGATGTAAAATGCAAACAATCGTTGTCATACGTCGGCCATTATTTGGTTTGAAACAAGCAACGCTTGAAGCAGCGTCAGATGAAGCCTTCAGAACAGAGCAGGATAACAAACAAATGAATAAAATCAATGGTATATTTACACGATTGTCCAGAGTTGGCTAGTGTTTCTTGACCGTGTAGGCTAGTATTTCTAGACCATGTTGACTCGTTTTTTCTTAACGCTAAATTATTTCAAATAGACCAAAGTCGGGGGCTCTGTTCCACTAAGACGAACAAACGAGTATGAATTTACTTAGTATAAGTTAATAATTTTTTGATGGAGTTTCTTCGTAACTTCATTCCCTGACGTTGTTATGATAGAAGCTGCCACCATCGATGGCGTCGCTGCTAAAATATTATTTCAATTATATTAGCAATATTAAAACATCGTAGTTTAGAGGAACTCCCATCAGAAAGACGTTATTGAATGTTGGACTTTGAAAGATGTAAAATGCAAACAATCGTTGACATACGTCGGCCATTATTTGGTTTGAAACAAGCAACGCTTGAAGCAGCGTCAGATGAAGCCTTCAGAACAGAGCAGGATAACAAACAAATGAATAAAATCAATGGTATATTTACACGATTGTCCAGTACAATTATCTCTAACCAGCACGATTGTCTCTAACAACACACTTATCTTTAATCAACTAGCACGGTTATCCTAACCAGTATGGTTTTCAGTAAGGATACACTATCTAGCCAATCAATCTCAACTTTGTGTCGAAGTATGCCACGACGTGAGTCGAATATTGAGTCAATTTGTGAGTTTGGTTCAAGAAATTCGTTTCGAGAATTTCACATTGCGTATATGCGTCAATGAGTGTCATATTATGACACATGCTTCGTTATATCGTAATTTTACATTTATTACATACTTCGTCAAATACATTTATTTTTTACACAAAAGTCAAATATTATATCAATTGGGCACACATGAATGGTTTGCGTCAACGTGGCGTATTGTCACACAAGACTGTCATTTGTGAACGAAATATTTCAGTCAGTTTGATCGAGCGTCACGCATCAATAGGCCTCCAAACCACCTTACTAGGCTTGCAATAATCACACATGATCACGTCAAGATCGGAAACATGAAACTGAACAAAAAAATTAGAGACAAAATTAAAACGTAAGCATTTAAAAAGTGAAAGGTTAGGGATCGCGGCAACGTCGAAAAAATCTTGGAAACTTGGCGAAAGTGAATCAAAATAGTAAATCTGATGAGTCTAACCTGCAACTCACAAATAAGTTGTGAGCAACTTCGTTCTTGTATTTCATATAAATTTTTGCCTATAACTCATGTCATAATAAGGTGTTTATCAATAAAAAAGGAGTTTGTTGATTAAATAATGCACGCGTATTTCTCTTTTGAAAATTTGTTGTGACGTTGAACATTACTTTGAATTTCTGCTGTAGATACAGACATGTTACTGGTAATTTCAATGAGCTGCCTGAGGTGCGGATGGGTGGGTTGTTGTTTGGTAACTACAACTCGTAACTTTAGTAACTAACTTACACATAAAACACAAACTTTCAGCTGCTATAAGAAACTCTTGAATCGAATAACCAACATAACATTACTATCTAACTTAAATCTTTATAATGTAACTCAGGAGATCAACAAAGTTATTTTTTGCCACGAGTAAAGTTGCTAAGCGAACTTGGCGCTCTTCTACAACTTCGAGGTCCCTTGTCTTCATGCGTACATCTCAACTTTGAACTTCAGAGTTAGACATCGAGGAAAAATTGTTTTAATAGCGAAGTTTACTTGAGCAAAGGCAATTTAGCGCGCATTTATTCGAATAAAATAAAATTAGGTATATAATATAAAAATCATACCATTAGGGTGAAAGAGGCGTCTGTTATCATGTCTGATATGAAAACTCATTAAATGCAGGCATTGAGAAAGTTCGCGCCCTTAAAACTCAGAGGGTTAAACACAACTTGATTTATTAACAAAATTTTTCTAAGTGAAATGAAATATATTCGGAAATATTTACAAGTGTTCGATTTGAATAAGGATAATTTCAATCGTCAGGAGGGAGGGTAGAAATCAATGATGAAGGGAAAAGGCTTACAACGAGCGGGATCAATTAACTCTACTGGCGAGTATTTAACATTATTTACAGTCGACATTTTATCACCTACATAAGTTTACCCACTATCACCCATGTTTTCCCTCCACAACCATAGTTATCCCTTCAACCTTCAACACCAAAAGTTATTATTTATTATCCGCATCAATCGTCTAGCACCTATCACCCAATAGCATGTTAACTCGTCCGTTAACATGCTATTCTATACCGTTCAGTTCACAACCATGTCAATGGTCATAACACTCATTGGGGAAAGTCTAATTTTGGGAAGCCCTAATGTAATTATTAGATAAATAGCCGTCATTAATATAAATACATTCATAATGCATTCAAGTAAGTAGGTTCCACCTTCGAGGAGTGTTAACGTTTGTAATGGAAACCCTGGACGATGATGTTGACTTATAACTTAGTGTTGTTCTCTGCTCTGTACATCACTGTCATCACTCCGAGGTATACACTCAATATTTAGTCCTGGATATTTGCGAGTACATCACTGCAAGTCCTTGTGCGAACAGGAGCATATCACTTCACCGCATCCTTCACCAACAACCTACAGGACACAGTTGACGGCATCACAGTTCTGTGTGCACCGCCACATCACAGTCCTGTATGCACCGCCACATCACAGTCCTGTATGCACCGCCACATCATAGTTCCCTGTGCACCGACACATCACAGTCCTGTATGCACCGCCACATCACAGTTCCGTGTTCATCACTGTAGCAGGGATGGTGTGGACGCCTCCCTTCCCGTTTTTCATGGTGATCTCGAAGGACAATGACGACGGGGTGATGGGTCTCGACCTGGACATGGTTGAACCCTGGGGCGCTGCATGGTCTCTTGAGTTCTCAACAGGAACGGTAGACCTGGGCATGGGTTTGGGTTGGGTAGAAAGTAGAGGGTTCGATGTGGTTTGTGGTAAAATTGTTTGATCTTCTGGCAGGTGGGAGTAACCTTCTGTTTGTTGCACCTGCGGTTGCCCTGGTACCGCGATAGGTTGTTGTGGTTGACCGCTGAATATTTGTGGCTGGGTCTGTGGGGGGTATGAAAGTTCATGCGGTTGCGAGTAAGGCTGTGGTTGCAAAATTATTTGCTGAGGTACTCCCGAGACCACTGGTTGAAGTGGTTGAGAGCTCAATGGTTGATGGTACACAACTGGTTGAAGCGGAATGCCAAGATCATTTTGGTTTTTGGGTATTGTTGAGTATGGGTCATAATGAGGCTGTATTTGTGGCGCTGAGTACTGATGTTGTGGTATCTGACCAGCAACGCTACCACCACTGATCACTGGTAGAACAGGCACACCCACTTGCTGGTATAGTGGAGGCGGCTGCGTTTGAGGCGGTTGCGTTTGATGCAATTGTTGAAGGGCTGGTGGGTGTTGATTGTTCATGATCGGTTGATGAATGGGCTGATACTGCTGTTGGAATTGCTGTTGCAGCGGCTGATTCGAGTGAGAGGAGCCATCACTTGAGTTTGACGATTTGTTGGTAATGAATGCGACATCAGCCGTTGAAGTAGAATCAGCTAGAGGCTTTTGGTCATCAACGTCTTGGTCATCTGGTACGTCAAAGGTCTGGTTGACGGCTGGTTGGCTCAAGGGCTTGTAGTGCTTATGCTTGGGTCTCTCCAGAGTGCTGGATGGGGTGCGTATAGTACCGGAATTGTGCGAGGTACCAATGTACACCCCATCGCTATTATGGGTAATGGAGGAGGGCGTAGCGGCTCTCAAGGGTTGGTCAGACATCATCTCATGGTAACTCTTGCGGTTAGAATACGGCGACCCACCAGCAATACTAATACCATTGGCCGTTTTATTGGACCGCATTGATCGGGTGTCCGGTTCAGTGAACCCTGCGGTGGTGCGTCCTCCACTAGGAGACCCAGAACGGGAGTCGTCGATGCGTTGGGTAGTGTCAGCGTTGGTGATGAGGGTGACAGGTGTAGTGGATCGGGTCACATCTGTGCCCCCGTTACTTTTGGTACTGCCAGGCATGCGTTCCAGGTACTTGCGTACCCCGTCATCGTAGATGCTACGCTCCTCCGCCAGGTTGTCGGTAGAGTAGTACTGCAGGTCGTCCAGGGCCTTGTTGCGTTGTCTGGGGGGACGGAGGCGGTTAATTACTAACTAATAAACAATGCAAGCAAGCACATAGATGAATCAATTAAAAGCTATAACGAATTACGAATATCAGTGAAAATCATGCAGGAAAAGCGCTTCATGCAAGCAAATGAAATCATAGTGGCATATTCGCAAACTCACCCAATGCTAAAAAATTAGACACCCAAAATCAAAACTTACTGTCATGCTTTCTACCGTGGAATCGCTCTTTATATGCGTTCTCTCCATGATCAGGTCTACATGGATAGGTCCACATCCTGGTCCTGCGACTTACCGTGTCGAGACAAGCATAATTGCGAGGATAATTCACGGCCATTACACACGAGGCCATTAGTTGCTGACACTACTTACCGCGTCACTGGCTTCGTGTATCGAGGAAGCGACTCCAATAGCGACTATAAACGGAACCAGTACAGAAAGAAACGCGAATACAGCAAATAATTTGGCAGCAGTCTGAAACCACAATTAATGGACATTCAACATAATTTTCAAAGCACTATTACATGAGCACTATTTACAGAGAAGATCTAAAAGGGACTAAAGTTTCAAGGAAATCCTGCCTGCGTTCAAACAATGATCTACGCTTGCCCAGGACCGCTTTCCACCGAGCGGCACGGAAGACTGTCATTGTACACCAAGCGTATTTTAGATGACATTCCATCAGGGTATATAAGAATAAGTACGGTTAAATGGTCCAGAATTTTACGCTATCTTGTGTCATAAAATAATTTTGAAAACAACATCAGAACAAATCACTCTACAGATCATGAGATTACAGAACAAGAAAGTCAAGCATTAACATCAACTTTCATCAACTACTTGGAAAATAACACAAAAGGCTGAAAAAATATTCTTGATACATTTTGCGGTTTAATATTTTGAATGATGTCTATGATATATTTTTGTTTTTGACTTCATAAGAACGTGATAAACTGAGCGAAGTAAACGCCTATTCCACAAACATTTGCGAACAATGAATCAACAATAGCTGGTTATATTAAGTAGGAACATTGTATACTAGCATCCGAACGCTTTAAAAAACGTTTTTAACGTGAACAAATACGGCACTCCCACGAGAAAACAAAAATAGATACATCATCCACCTCGTCTCAGCGCCGACTGCCGGCCGGTGGCGCGTTCGGCCGACCGAACGTTGGGTCGGGAACGTTACCATGACCAGTGCCGCCTCGGCCGTCAGGGTGGAAGGTATGTGTCGTTTGCTGTCCTCTCATATTTTGTTTATATCGCTCCTCCAGGTATGAAGGCAGCGGTGGAACCGGTGGAGGAGGACCATTGTAATCAAACTCATCAGGGTAGTTTCTTGGCGCCGAGTTAAGCAGCAGCATTTCCGTCTCTTCGACGTTGGTCTGGAATGTTTTCTCGCTTCGGTTCTTGTTGGCATTTGCGGTTTGGTTGCTTCGTTCTAACTCTTCCCTCGCTGCTTTTAGCGCTGCTTTATTCTCCTTACTCTTATTTCGCTCTACTTGGGCGAGCATGAGAGCCTTCTTCCTGTCGCTGGTGTTGGGAAAATGTAAAAAAAGTTGAAACCAAACTATATAATTTTGTTCGAAACCATGGGTTACAAAATAAAAATTATTCTTGCATGCATTTAATGAAGCCGGGAAGGCAGAGTGTGTATTTAAAAGTGCTAGGCCGGCAGGCACCTCATAAATTATGACAGTGATTGTTAGGAGTTAATGAATAACTCAAGTACATGCAAAGAGCGTAAAATATGCAAAAGTTCCGAGAAAACAAAGGTTGCAGTCCAGTGTGCAGGGGTTAATGGTGTGTCATGCTGGATTGATTATTTATTAAGCAAAGCATTCTTTTTTTATCCCAGGTGACTTCAGCTAAGACATTATTCGTATTATGACCACTTCAATCTGGATTTCAACATAATAATTTACTTTATTATTGCTTACAATTGAATTTAATTTCAATTGATATTCCATTCCTCAATGCGGTCACAGTTAAAATCGGAAACAAAGAAGCAGAAAGTGCTTGAAGGTGACGCCGAGAAAATTAGTGACTTTCGATAGCAAAGAAATAAATATTAATAATTATTGAAAGCAACAAAAATGGAAAGATTAGTTCATTTTATAATGACAACAGGAAAAAAATGTGACATTTAAACGATACAGAAATATTATTGGTAAATTCTCACCGTTGACCGTAGGTTATACTAGCGAAATTTCTGCTGTAAGATTACGAGGTGATTTGGCAGCTGCAGTCAGCCATGTGAAGTGATAACAATGATGATAGCAGTAGTTAGAGGTGATAAGGAATGGTGAGTGACATTAGTAACTTCTAGACATGACAACGAATGGGACAATTGCAATATTAGCAGCTGCTGGAGGACTGTAAAAAATAGGAGCATAACGAGCATTACGAGCCTTACCTGCTGATACGAGCATTACCTGTTAATGCTAGCAATAGCTGTTAATACTTAGTTACTAGCAATGGCTGTTAATAACAGTAATATTTGTTATTATTAGGAATGCCTGTTAATAACAGTATTATTTGTTAATACGAGCCTTACCTGTTAGCAGACTTCCAGAGGCCGAAGCAGACGCAGAGCACGACGAGCAGCAGCGCCGTGATGGCCACGAAGCTGTACATGGCGGCCGTCACGGGCTCCGTCATATCCACCCAAGGCTGCGGCACATGGCAGGGTTATCATGTGATTCATTGTTATTATTATATTCATTACCACACAATTCAACGTTTACTGCTTCCAGTTCATCAACTAGAAAGTGTCCGGTGTCAATTCACTTGACCTGATAGAGATTGAGGACGAGTCAACATCTGATAGACACGTGATAGATCACGCGATCAAGACCGCAGTAGTGGGCGGAAGCGAACGTTATAAAAGGTCTAGCAACCTTAAGCAAACCCCCCAGTAGCTGATGAGCACTCCGCGATGTAGCGTGCCGGTAGAGTTCTCCGACCTTACGGTCGATGCCGTAGGCCAGTGGTTCCCAAAGTGGGCGATATCGCCCCCCTAGGGGCGGTGGAAAGATTTTGGGGGGCGGTAAGAAAGCAGAGGGCGTTTGGGGGGCGATAGGGGGGCGGTAGTCCGAAGTCGAAGTCAGAAGTTCGAACGTGTGTTTGACGATTTGTACACAACACGTGCAGCACATGACTCCCAGCGATGATTTTTTTTCACCCAGATCTGTTTTTTAACCTCTCCTGGGTTTACGTCTCGGACAAATTAACGGCCGGCCTCGCGGCCGGTCTCACGGCCAATTTCAAAATTCAATGATCAAGGAATATCTCTCCAACTGATGAACTCAACTCGATGAAACTTGGTACAGGTATTCATTAGAACCTAACGGTAATATTTTGCTCGTGAAAATTGTTTGAATTTTGCCATAGTTATATGGCAATACGAGCCGAAATTCACAGTGATCAAGTTTTTTCTTCCAAATTACTGAACAGATTCGAACGAAATTTTGAATTTACAGTCCTAACTACCAAACGGTAACGTCAGCTCGTGAAAATTTTTTCGATTGTGCCTTCGTTCGCGAGTTTTTTTTCTCATTTCACCTTCAATTAAACAGCAATACGTGCTTAAATCCACAGTAATCAAGAAATTTTTTCCAAACTAAATGGCAGGGTTATCATGTGATTCATTGTTATTATTATATTCATTACCACACAATTCAACGTTTACTGCTTCCAGTTCATCAACTAGAAAGTGTCCTGGTGTCAATTCACTTGACCTGATAGAGATTGAGGACGAGTCAACATCTGATAGACACATAAAAGATCACGCGATCAAGACCTCAGTAGTGGGCGGAAGCGAAGCTTATAAAAGGTCTAGCAACCTTAATCAAACTCCCCAGTAGCTGATGAACACTCCGCGATGTAGCGTGTCGGTAGAGTTCTCTGACCTTACGGTCGATGCCGTAGCTTATTCCTCTGTATCTTAACTCTGTATTACCACCCCATATACAAGATACGTTATCTGGACTTATGTGTCTTACTTATCCCTCACTACCTTAGTCAACGTAACCCGATCCTCAGGTAGAGCTTAATATAAAGATCTCAATATCATAGGTTGTAGTTGATTTACAACATGTGACAAAAGCAATAAATAAAGTCACAAAATCAGTATCACCCATTGAGCAGCAATTGCTACTCACATTTCTAGGAGGCATCGGTGTGGGTATCCACTCGCGCACCACCAGCGGCATGTAGTAGTACCAGAAGGTGTTCTGTGGTTGTCGGTAGTTGAAGTGCATGGTAGTGTTGAAGGTGTTGTTGATGCTCAGGTACCTCAGGGTACCATCGACCACAGGTTCCCACTTGGCCTTTAGCACGCTTACTTGCACCTGAGTTGGGTTCCTGTGAAGAAGGTCCTAGTGAGGTACCTAACACGCAAGTCTGCTACCTTGTAGGAAAGTACGATACCTAGAACTTATTTCATAGAAAACAAAAAATACTCATTTTTGAGGCGAGGCTGTAGTAATTCATGAGTATTGTAAGAATGAAACGGCATTTTTATATATTTTAATGACTTAATAATGTACGTCATCGTGAACACTGACTGATGGCTTACGTCAAATGGACTAAAATAAAAGTAAATGTAATCAGCATTTTAAGCCAGTTAATCTTGGTCAGTCTCAATATCTTTAATATCTGATATTTTTGTAATATTATTAAGCTCCGGTAATAACAGAATATTATTATACTGTAATTCACATAGTGCTAGTATAAACGCAAAATTTCACTCATAACTGTCTGGCAACATCGCCAGAGCTTGGTACCCCCTATTTGATTTGAGACGCGTTTCTAAACGGTTGACGTGTGCTTTATTCTGTGTTTTGGTGAAATAGAATAACCGCTGGGTGAGTGTTGAAGTTACTAACTTTGTATGAATGTATTGTAGTATATTCCTTTTTTGACTTAAAAATCGAACGATCATCTTGTACCTAATAATTAGACCCTGCTTAGAAATGAATGCCGACCAACTTTGGCCTTAGGGGCTAGTTAGGTGACCGAGACCCTCACCCTGTTTAGTGGAAGCAAATGAAGTTGAAGTATTAATGGAAGTGGCTCAAATTTATATCTCGCACTGTTCTTACAGGGAATGTCGAAATTAATTTAATAAAACCTTCAAACTCGTTGATCATAAATATCTGTAACTACCGGTATAAGTAAATTAATTAACTTGGATTCGTTTACTTGTTTCGAATTTCATAATTTTCACTATTAAATAATTATAAAATATTCAGTCAGTAAATCATATGATATTCTCTCGCTAGAGCGAAGTTATCAGGAAACTATTGTAATGATTTTATGAGAGAAATTGTCATGTAGCTACAAATATAGTGGGTTAAACCTAAATCCTTTGAGAATCATCATTGCTGCTTGTGAACCTCATTAATAATTATTATAAATATTAAATGTTGACATATTAAATTTCTATTTCGCGTAATGTTGGAATAAAAACTTCCATGTGAAATTCATGTTCTAATTATGACCTTATTCGCAGGTCTTTTCTCGCACTATATTTTACAGATTCATCAGAACCTGTTGTATCCCATAACCTCCTTATACTTGCGCTGGTTTTACCTAATCGATTGGCCATCGTTTCACGCCTCCTAATTGAGTCAACCTCTAACCAATTACCAGAATAAACTATCATGAATATCTCTGCAATCCTTCATTATACTACTTAACTAGGCTTCAGTAAAACCTCCAATTCCTACGTTAGCCACAATTCCTCCAAACATTCAAAAGACTAGCCCAAAGCGTCCAAACTTTAAGGACTCGTGACCTGCCTAAAACTTACTGATACAATTTTAGAAACTATAACCTTCCTTCGGGATTGAACCGTCCTCTAATTGAACCTTCTCATAGAAGTACTCAATCGGTTAAAATGAAAATACGCCCGTAAAAGTTAGCCATCATATTGAACCTCCCTAAACTACACTCCCCTCACTAGGTCACTTCCCCGCTCCCTGTAGCTCAGGTACTCACCCCCACTTGGCGAAGTTAGCGAAGGTCTTCATCATGAACTGCGAAATGTTGCGGTCGCCCTCGCTAAACTGGTTGCGGGAGATGCGGTAGTTCTCGGGGTAGAAGTCGGGGTCCATGAATGGGGCACCTGACAGGAAGTAGTATTCTAGGTTCCCTGGTACCTGCACAACAATTAAGGGGGTAATTTTACTCAGATGTGTTTCTTGGTTAACGTCATCTGTATTTACATTTACGCCAATATATATACATGGTGATTCATGGTAAATCCATGTTTTGTATTTCCCGCCAAGCAGTCAGATTTTGCAGGAAGAGTGCGGGGAGTAATTCACATGAAAAGCAAGGTCGTGAAGTTTAGTGTCCCGCCTAATCAGTTGCCACAATGCATTGAACAAGTGAGCAGCGTGCGTTTACTGTCCAGGCGTACTTTTCTAATAGCTGTTTGGCAGAGTTGTCTCCGTCTGAAACAACATTTTGCAGAGCGGCTAACGCAGCTAAATGATAGTGCTGTATGTGTAGCTACCTCCCTGCAAATGGAAAGTTTGAGGGCATCTAGAGTGATATTGAGCAGGTAGTAGAAATAACAACATCATGCAACAATAACCGCATCTTGCATCAATAACAACATCATGCATCAATAACAACATCATGCATCAATAACAACATCATGCATCAATAACCGCATCTTGCATCAATAACAACATCATGCATCAATAACAACATCATGCATCAATAACCGCATCTTGCATCAATAACAGCATCTTGCATCAATTACGGCATCTGTCAGGCGCTTTATTAAGCACCACCTGACTTATTATATTTCTACCTGATCATGAGGACAGGGATTCTTTGACTAAGTGCGTGAGGGATAAGTGAGTCACCATCTGTCTATAGAACTTATCTTGCGAGGGGGTGGTTATACTAGAGTGATACGATACAGGTATAGGCTGAGACATCGACCGTAACATCTGAGTAATTCTAACTCGAGTTACATCGCGTTGCGCGTACTTGTCAGCTTCTGCAGGGGCTTTACTAAGGTTCCCAGACCTTCTATAGAATCGCGGCTTCCACCCACTGCTGAGGTCTTGATCACGTGATCTGTCACGTGATGTTGTCCATGCTTACTCAGGTCCAGTACTTTTCCATCAATCTCTGCCACGTCTAGTGAATATTACGTCTCAATTAAAATGAATAGAATGAGACGCCTGAGTGACGCCGCACACATCCCGTATTAATAACAACAACATGAATGATTAATAACATCAAGCATCAATAAAAACATCCTGCATCAATAACGGTCACATTGTCACCTTTGTACAGTGCACAATGATGTTGTCACCTACGTTCAATGATGTTCTACGATGTACAATGTGAATGAAAAATCATTAACGAGACATGGCGAACAATAGGGTCCAGTACAGCGACTTTTATTAATGACTACTAGAGAGAGGTAAGGCATGGTAGCATTGTAGTCAAGAGATGGTAGTAGTGAGTGTGATACCCCGCCACGTAACGACGGTGGTAAAGCCAAATGCAACGCTTCGCTGGTGTTGACGGTGGAAAACAATGGCACAAGCGGACGTCTGCTGCAGAAAGTGTATGTACGGACAGTTAGTATTGCACGTCTAAGCGATTTTTGTTCATCAGTTGTTGCGTTGAGATTCATAACATTAAAATAGTGTTAATAATACCTTTTAAATCTTATATTCAGTGCTGCAGTTCCAAACCTTCTCTTTAGCTCTGCCCTAATTGATGACTTCTGAGACACAGTCTACGAGGTGATATGGCCGCTTATGGAAGAGTATTGAAGGGACGCGTGAAATTAAGCCTACACTACCAGTCTAGTTCTGTAATTTTAATGTAACTTGTAACGAACGCCCAGATTGATATAATATTAAAGTGAACATTAAACACTAACCAAGTGAAAATTACGCTGGCAAACAAGCGTCGCAATCCTTAGCATTACAACTAAATATTTCCCGAGTCGGTTGTACGTTGGTTGTAAATAAGCAATATTAGAAATATATAAAGATATAATATGAGAAGCACACACGGATGCACAGGATATTTCTTAGTAATAGGTTGACGAGGGCGGACTAGAACCTGTTTGGTTAAACATAGTATCCTTATTACTGAATATTTTACAAACCTATATATAAAAAGATTATAACGAAAATAACACTAATGCAAGGAACTCACAGCGACATACTGGTCCCGGATCTGGGACTTGTTGTGCGGGTCGGGCCAGAAAGTGTACATCCACTTGATGGCATCGAAGGCGCCCTCAGGGTTCAGGGAGTAGTTGTAGTGCTTCACCCACTCCTTGATGCGCATGTCGAAGAACTCCTCGCTGATCTCGTGGTTGGTCGTCGTGATCCGCGGGTCCTGGACTGTGCGCAAAATAAATCATATAAGAATGATGCATATTTGTATATATTATACAAATATATATTACTTATATAAATATATAAGAATATATATTTATATTATATAAGAATTTTCAGGTTTCAGTTCAGACTTTGACTTTCAAAGTATACAGTAGGTGCCGATACGGACTTCGTCGCGCACGTATAGGTCCAGATACGGGCTTCGATGTAGAACGTTTAAGAACGTATAGTTTTCAGAAATTTTGAAAGGTTTTGTAAGTATAATTTCGTAATTTATTACCGGTATTTATATTTGTACACGTTTTTTTTTAATTTTGTCAAATTTTTGGAAGAAGGCCAGACCCTACTAACTGTAATGATGCGTCTTTCGATGTAAACTCTTAGAGAACGCAACATTTCGACCTACTCATTAATTTATGTATAACCATGATTCGCTTATGTACAGCTGCTGAAGCACACAGGTGACTTATCCTGACCCACATATTTCTTTGAGTGGAAATTTTGACGTTTTTGAACTAATAATCTTCAAAAAACTAGAATGTTTCTGTAAGAATTATATCACGACTTTGGGCTTTTTGAGGTTTCGGATTCAATGAAATTTGTTCAAATTGTAGCATCTTGTAACCACGTATCCAAACCAAGAGCCAATTTATAAGTTAAGGTTGTATGCATCCCCGTACTCCGCAGCCACATGTGTACAAATAGACCCTAAAAGAATAATTTCATACCACCCTCAGTAACGGAAAGTGACTCGTTCTCTAAGACCCTAAACCAATAGTATAGTATATGTTTAGTATAGCGCTTTCAGCGTTTATTAAGCCTTAGGCCCTTCGCCGATTCTTAAAACATTGCAGAACGTCCAAAGCTTGTTGCGGGCTTGAATTCGTAACTCACTGTTACAAATTTTCTTTGCTTAACCGCCCGGCCTCCTCGCCGATTTTAACCAGTAATTTAACTGGCGCGCTGAACTGGGATCGAACCCGCACCTCTCTACTCCAATCTTGGATCTCCAATCCAATAGTCTAATGAATCAAAAATGAAGGAATCCTATACGAAGCAACAGACCCGTCAATCCGGGAACTTTGAGTTCCAAAATTGCAGGATGAGGTCCTTCAGGCGCCTCTAGACTCACAGGCGTCGAAAATAAAATACCATTTCTTCGACGATTTTCATCAATACAGCAAGATTGCTTCCATGTATATATATATAGTCAAATGGGGTAAAACAGGATCGCAGCCTTCATGGGGTAAGAAAGGACCGGCCCATTGCATGCATTCTAATTGTACTGAATTTAATGTGACAAAAAGAATATGTTAGAGCAATCATTGCCTGTCATTTCAGTGTTTGTTTCAACCCTCTTCTGCAAATAATTAATTTTTGGTTAATTTTCAAAGAAAACATTATATAAATATATAAGAATATATATTTATATTATATAAGAATTTTCAGGTTTCAGTTCAGACTTTGACTTTCAAAGTATGCAGTAGGTGCCGATACGGACTTCGTCGCACACGTATAGGTCCAGATACGGGCTTCTATAAAGAACGTATACTTTCAGAAATTTTGCAAGGTTTAGTAAATATAATTTCGTAGTTTATTACGGGTAGTTATATTTGTACACATTTTTTTCTTAATTTTGTCAAATTTTTTGGACGAAGGCCAGACCCTACTAACTAATGATGCGTTTTTCGATGTAAACACTTAGAGAACGCAACATTTTGATCTGCTCATTAATTTATGTGTAACCATGATTCGCTTATGTACAGCTGCTGAAGCACACAGGTGACTTATCCTGACCCACACATTTCTTTGAGTGGAGATTTTGACGTTTTTGAACTGATAATCTTTGGAAAACTAGAATGTTTCTGTAAGGATTACATCACGAAAGTTGTTCAAATTGTAGCATCTTGTAGCCACGTATCCAAACCAAGAGCCCGTTCATAAGTTAAGGTCAAGAAGCAACCCGTACTCCGCAGCCACGTATGTACGAATAGACCCTAAAAGAATAAATTAATTCGACCCTCAGTAACGGAATGTGACTCGTACTCTGAGACCCTAAACCAATAGTATAGTATGTATAGTATAGCGTTTCAGCGTTTATAAGGCCTTAGGCCTGTTGCAGATTTTTAAAACATTGCAGAACATCTAAAGCGTGTTGCGAGCTTCAGTTCGCAACTTACTGCTTCACATTTTCTTTGCTTAACCGCCCGGCCTCCTCGCCGATTCAAACCAGTAACTGTCGCGCTGAGCTGGGATCAAACCCGCACCACTCGCTCCAATCTTGTATCTCCAATCCAAAAGTCTCATGATTCAAAAATTAAGGAATCCTATACGAAGCAACAGACCCGTCAATCCGGGAACTTTTAACCCCAACTTGTCTTAAAATTGCAGGATGAGGTCCTTCAGGCGCCTCTAGACTCACATGCGTCGAAAATAAAATACCCTTTCTTCGACGATTTTCATCAATATTGCACAATGGCTTCCATGTATACATGGAGCTTCCATACATACCTACATCCCATACATAACTTCCATAAATGGAAGTTATTTCTGGCATGCGAGGGCCCTTTAATATCAATAAACTCCCAAAAAGGTTCACGATATCAAATAAACCATACGACCCTTGAGCTGCGGGCCCACAAGCCCTGTGATGATCCATGATGTAAGCTACTCGAAGAAACTCCTGGTCCCGGTGTTACTCACAGACCATGTTGGCGGCCTCATCCCTGTTGATCCCCGCCATGACCCGTAGCTTGGGGTGGTGCAGGTTGGCCCATATCATCCTGAGTGGGGCCTCGGGCATGGCCCTCCAGTCCTCCTCGACCCAGTCCGGGTACCAGTCGTCCCCGGGAACCGTGAAGTTACGGTCCACAACGGGCGACCAGGCGAAGGTCCCAACGTCGGGCTGACGGGGAAGGATCACGGGGAAGATGAGTAGGTAGAAGAGGTTGGAAATAGGGGGGTATGTGGGAAGATGACACACCTTTCCACAATAATGCGTTAAGTGGAATAATGTGCGTTAAGTGGCTAGGTGGCGTAGGAAAGAGTTAAAATAAGGTTTAGCAAGAGGGTAGGTGGAATAGGAATGAGGTAAAACATTGTTTGGTATGTGAGAAGGTGGGGAGGGGGCTTGAAAAATGTGGATAAGTGGGTAGTTGAAGTATAATAAATTATTGGTTATGTACTTTGTTTAGCTAGCAGTTTATGGATGCTAGTAAACAAGGCTGCGTTGCAATTAAAGCATTAAATTGTTCTTTGGAGAGTCTGGGTCAAAGATTTCAGTCATTGGTAAACCATGAACACCTGTGCCATGTACCTCTGTGCTGGTAGAGTACCGTACTAGGAAGTATGGACACTCACAATACCCTTAATTAAGAGGAGTACTCACGGTAATGGGTATGTACACCTGAGCTGCTAGAGTACTGGTAAATATGGACACTCACAATACCCTTAAGAGTACTCACGGTAATGGGTATGTACACCTGTGCTGCTAGAGTACTGGTAAGTAAGGAAACTCACAATACCCTTAAGAACGCGACGTGTTCTGCACGCGGTAGATGTCGTCGATAGCCGCCCAGTCAGCCAGGGGGGACCCGCTCTGTGGGGGGGTATGATTGATTAATTGGCATATCGTATATCATGGTTATTGATTGGTCTTGCGGTTATTGATTGGTCTTGCGGTTATTGATTGGTCTTGCGGTTATTGATTGGTCTTGCGGTTATTGATTGATGTCTTATGGTGATTGTTTGGTATCTTGTGGTGTTTGTTTGATATCTTGTGGTGATTGGTTGATGTCTTGTGGTGATTGGTTGATGTCTTGTGGTGATTGTTTGATCTCTTGTGGTGATTGTTTGATGTCTTATGGTGATTGTTTGGTATCTTGTGGTGATTGATTGAAATCTAGTAGTGATTGTTTGATTCTTTTGGGGATTGATTGATGTCTTGAAATGAACATTTGATCTCTAATGACGATTAATTAGCCACTTTTCTGATTTATTTTCCGCTTATGAAGATTAATAATAATTGATAAACTAACGCTTACACACAGACCATCTCTACTCCCCTCTGGCTCTAAAAAATTTCAGACCACCCCCAACCGGAAGGCCACATAACTAGACAAAAAAAAATATATGGAGTATATGTATAGATATATGTAAACAGTGTGCTGTATTTGTGCGGTATCTGCATACTAAATTGTGTATCAGTATAATATATCAACTAGACCATTAGACCAGGCATCAGACCAACCGACGATATGAACTGCCTGACGTAGCTCCGGGTCTTGGGGAGCACAGCGAGCAGACCGGCGGCAGCCCCTCCAGCCCCAGGCCCGAAGACCGTGATGGCCTCCCGGTCCCCATTGAAGAGGCGGATGTTCTCGTAGACCCACTCGAGGGCCAGGGACATGTCTAGCAGACCGTAGTTACCGGGGGAGTTGTGGTCTCCCGTGCTCAGGAACCCTGAGGGTCGTTACACTTAATTTTCAGCGTATGGGCTAACACTTAATAACACACACTTTACACTTAACACACACTTTACACTTAACACACACTTTACAACTAACATGCGGATAACTTTACACTAACATATAAACTTTACACTAACATATAAACTATACACTAACACACACTTTTCACTTAAGACACACTTTACAACTAACATGCGGAAAACTTTACACTAACACACACTTTACACTTGATTATCAGCAACGTGACAAACCACCTTATCTCCACGTAGGTATGGTATCATTTCATCATCATACAAGGCATCTTATAACGTCATGAAAGTTATTTATTTCATACGAATATGTTCGTAGTTAGATACAAAAAGGATATTTTTATTCAATTTTATGATAGTTAAAAACGTTCATGAGGTTTTAAAAACGTTCATGACATTAGATCTCTAAACTGTTTATCTGTTTTGAAATAAGCAATAAGTCAAACACTCTCTAGCCTACAGGTTAGCGTACTGCCTTTTCATCATAACCCACTCACCACCCACCATGCTTGTTGGGGTACATCACGAACCCATCTACAAAAAAGGCGTATAGAACTATTCGCATAACCAATGCATGTCAACGTGAGAGGACTCTCATCTACCTCGATCTACCCTCTTATCCACCCTGATCTACCCTCTTATCCACTCTGATCTATCCACTTATAAACTTTGATCTACCCTCTTATCTACTACCCTAATATCTACATGATCTACCTTCATCTACCCTGATCTATCCTCTTATCTACACTCTTATCCACCCTGATCTACCCTCTTATCTACTCCGGTCTACCCTCGTATCTACCCTGATCTACCCTCTTATCTACCCTTATTTAATCTCTTACCTAACCAGACCAAGCCTCTTACCCCGCCTGATCCACCCTCCTATCTACCCTCTTACCTACTCTAATCTACCCTCATATCTACCCTGATATACCCTCTTATCTACCCTGATCTACCCTTTTATCTACCCTGATCCACCCTCTTATCTACACTGATCTACCCTCTTACCTACTCTAATCTACTTTCTTATCCACCCTGATCTATTCTCTTATCAACTTTAATCTACCCTCTTATCTACCCTGATCTACCGTCTGATCAACCCTGACCGACCCTCTGATCTACCATGTTATCTACCATTATTTACCCTCTTACCTACCCTCTGTTCTACCCTCTTATCAGCCTTCTTATCTACCCTCTTGTCTACCCTCTTATCTACCTTTTTATCTGCCCTGACCCTCTGATCTACCCTCTGATCTACCATGACTCTCTGATCTACCATGACCCTCTGATCTACCCTGACCCTCTGATCTACCCTGACCCTCTGATCTACCCTGACCCTCTGATCTACCCTGACCCTCTGATCTACCCCGACCCTCTGATCTACCCCGACCCTCTGATCTACCCCGACCCTCTGATCTACCCTGACCCTCTGATCTACCCTGACCCTCTTATCTACCCTGACCCTCTGATCTCCCCTGATCTACCCACCGAGGGCGAGTAGATGTTGAGGTAGAGACAGTCCTCATGGACGCCGTTGCGGATGCCGTTGGAGGCGCCGAGGTACTTGAGGTTCTGGGGGCACGCGGGCCGGAAGTCCAGCGCCTGCCACGTGCTGTACCAGTTCTGGATCTTGCGGGGCGGCTGAGGGTACGATGAGTACGCTTATTAGTGCGTTTATGTACTAATGCTAATGTAAAGTACACTTATTAGTGCGTCTATGTACTAATGCTTATGTAAAGTACACTCATTAGTACGTCTATGTACTAATGCTAATGTAAAGTACACGTATTAGTACGTCAGTGTACTAATGCTAATGTAAAGTATACTTATTAGTGCGTCTATGTGCTAATGCTAATGTAAAGTACACTTATTAGTGCGTCAATAAACATGGGGGCAATTGCGCGACATTTCTATGACGTGAATAAATAACTCGCTCTTTATACAGCGATTTAATTCGCAATATTTTACCTATAGAAACTAATAATAATTTAAATATTCAGATAAATCATTCAATGGCATAATGTTCCCTAGTTGCGGGATAAACTAAATTATTCCAGTAAGGAAGACTTCTTGATATTTCTTAGCAACTGTGGAAGTTCGAATGAATTATCAAGCATAAAAGATGAATAGGTATGTTTTTTTTTGTTGTATAGATAGCAAGCCGCCAGGCATCAATGGACACGTCAGAAGAAGCGTAGCAGGTCAACGCGCCGGAAGCTGACACGCTCGACCGGAAGTTGTGGGCGCAACACGCACACGCACGCATTCCTCCAGGACACGCACACGCACGGGTTCCTCCACGACACGCACACGCAGGCATTCCTTCACGACACGCATTAGTCACTTCATTTCACACACAAATGAACATACATACGTGACACAGGCGCTTGCAGCGCATGCAGTACCTTGGCAACTCAGAGCGCCGTCGCCATAGCAACGGAGCGTTCGGTTGCCATAGCAACACAGTACAGTCGCAGGCATTCTACTCTCTCAATTATACGTTAGAATTAATTTAACTGTATTTAAATGATCAGATGCCCCTTTTTGTCTACAAATAAAATTATTTCCCTAAAATAGATTGATTTTTTATTTAGCCATTTAGACATTTTGGTTGACTTCACGCCTATAGTGTTTGATATATTATGGCAGGAAGCTCTTCGTTAAGATATCTTAACTTTTTCGTTGCAATCATCAAGTACTGTTGGAAATTGAGTGATAGTTGAGTGATATTGTTATTTGAAAGAGGACAGTAGACGCGGACATTAACAACAAAAACAAACAGCAATAAATAACGGCGTCAATAACAGGCATTTTAATTCCAATAAAACTGATAGCACAGGCACACTACTGCCAAGTGTACTACTGTGCCCAATTGTTTAATATATTAAAATAATCTCGACGACTGAAACAACAACGATGACATCGACTGCGTCAATAACCGAGCATCTAAGAGAAGTGATTACGAACCACAAAACCCATTATTAAGGCGAATATAACGACCATTGTCGGGCAAGAACAAGGCACTGTCAGAAGGGATGACAGGTACGAAAACAGCAAAAATATCAAAGAAAGTTTGAAGAGAACAACAACAACTAAGATGAGCAAACCGAGTGCAGATAAGCTACTCGACTTCCACCGGGTTCGATATGGTGCTAGGCATTTCAAATCTGAGCATATATTTTGCCATAGCTTTATCTAGTCTGTTCTTGAACGCGTTCATACTTGGAGCGCCAACGATGTCATCGGAAGGCTGTTCCACATGTCGGTGATTCGAAGCGAGAAGAAATGTCGCGTGAAGATGTTACAGCGCAGTTTTTTAGTTTATAGCCGTGGGCCCTGGTGTTGGTTCTTGTTTCAAATTCTAGTAATCCTTCGGGGACCTTGTATAAACCATAAGTATACTTGTATACTTCAATGAGGTCCCCACGCAGACGTCGATGTCTGAGGCTTGGAAGCTTCATAATCTTTAATCTTTCTTCATAGGACTTGTCCCTCAAACCTGGAATTATCCTTGTTGCACGTCTTTGAACATTCTCTATTAAATTTTTGACCTTTTCAAATCTCGGTGACCACACAACGTTTCCAAACTCTAGATTCGGGCGCATGACAGCAACAAACAACTGCTTCAGTGAAGGCTATGTTCCGGAAGGCAGGAATCATGATGGTCCATTACATCCAGGGCAGTGGTGGTCTTCGGCAGGCGACCCCTTCATGGGAGCGCAGCCGTGCACCACCAATTTTGTGCACCAATAAGCCCTGAATCGAACGCCTTGGATCTCTCCGGACCTACACCAATCAGCCGTGCACCACTCGGCTTTGTCCTCTTCCGGCCTTGACCACCACCTGCCGTGCTCCACCAGGCCGCAGGTCGAATATGACTTCCAGGCATAGTTAAATTACGTAATTTTACGTTCACCGCATCTGAGATTAGGTTTCAGATAGCATAGTTCTGTTCCAAAATTTATCGTCCTTCAACAAGTGGCCATTCGACCGAGGGCTGGTTCGACCCACGGCCTAGATACGGACGGCTTGAAGTGTTGAAGGCTATGTTCCGGAAGGCAGGAATCATGATGGTCCATTACATCCAGGGCAATGGTGGTCTTCGGCAGGCGACCCCTGCTTCATCGCTTCTGCATCTAGGAACTCCTATGTGCGTCTGATTAGTCCAAGAAGTTTGTTGGATGTGTTTGCTTGCGTTTCAACATGCTTAGAAAATTTCAGCTCCTTGTCATTGTCTACTTTTTTATAGTTAATTTGTTTACCCTTTCGTATCAACTCAAAAAGTGCATTTTATTGACAACATTGCAAACGCAACTTCGCAGGCATGAACTGTTAGCTAAACCTTACTTAAGTTAGTTCAGTATTGCGAAAGTTGAAACACGTCAGAACAAGCGTAGCAGGTCAACGCGCCGGAAGCTGACAAGCTGGACCGGAAGTTGTGGGCGCAACACGCACACGCACGCATTCCTCCACGTCACGCACACGCAAGCGTTCCTTAACGACACGCACACGCATGCATTCCTCCACGACAATCACACGCACGCGTTCCTTAACGACACGCACGTATTCCTCCAATACGCACACGCAGAGATAAGTTATCGTAGTTCAAATGTTAGTTCATGTAACGCATTAGTCACTTCATGTCAGGCACACGCATAATGAACATACGTGACACAGGCGTTTGCGGCGCTGCAGTAATCACCTTGGCAACGCAGAGCACCGTCGCCATGGCAACGCAGGGTTCCGTTACCGTGGTAACGCAAAGAACCGTCGTCATAGCAACGGTGCGTTCGGCTGTCATAGCAACACAGTACAGTTGCATACATTCTACCCTCTCAATATACGTTAGAATTCTTTTAACACTGTTTAAATTATAAGATGCCTCTTTATCTCTACAAATAAAATTATTTTCTTGAAATAGATTGATTTCTTCTTTTGCCATCTATATATTTTGGTTGACTAGAGGTCAATACTGCTCAATATATGTACTACCCCTTTTAAAAAAATATATATATATGATGGCAGAAAGCTTTTCGTTATGATACTTTACCTTTCTCGGTGCAATCATTCAAGTACTGTTGAAAGTTGAGTGCTATTTGGGTGATAGTTGAGTGACAGTTGAGTGATAGTTGAGTGATAGTTGAGTGATAGTTGAGTGATAGTTGAGTGACAGTTGGATGATAGTTGAGTGATAGTCGAGTGATAGTTGAGTGATAGTTGAGTGATAGTTGGGTGATAGTTGAGTGATAGTTGAGTGATAGTTGAGTGATAGTTAAGTGATAGTTGAGTGATAGTTGGGTGATAGTTGGGTGTTAGTTGGGTGATAGTTGAGCGATAATTTAGTGATAGTTGAGTGATAGTTTAGTGATATTTGAGTGATAGTTGAGTGATAGTTGATTAATACGTTTTTAACCAAAGGACGGCAGACGCGGACATTAACAGCAAAAACAAACAACAAAATAGCTGCGTCAATAACAGGAATTTTAATTCCAATAAAACATATAGCACAGGCACACTACTGTCAAGTGTACCAATTGTGTAATATATTCAAATATTCACGACGATTGAAACAACAACGATGACATCGACTGCGTCAGTAACCAAACCTTTAAAAGAAGTGATATACTGAACACATATTTATGGAAAGATAACAATAAAAGTTGTGTAAGAACAAGGAATTGGCAGCAGGGATGACAAGTACATAAAATAACGAACATATCAAAGAAAGCCTGAAGAAAACAACAACAACAACGATGAGCAAACCGAGTGCAGATAAGACTACAGATAGCGAAGTGATAAGCGCAGTAACGGTCCAATTAACGGCGATGTCATCGTCACAACGCTAACGCCACGACGTAGTTCCGCTGAAATGAAGCGGAGATGAGGTGGACAAAAATCCTATTCGCACATATAAATAAATCTCTTGCAATAAACCTTGAACTGAAGACGTGTTAAAACAAAAGAGACCGACCCGTGCGAACCTTACTGTAAAGAAATAAGCTTTTTTAAATAAACAAATGTTTTTTTAATAACATACCAACACCTGACGTATTGAAGGTGCTAGGCATTTCAAGTCTGAACATATATTTTTCCATAGCTTTATCTAGTCTGTTCTTGAACGCGTTCATACTTGGAGCGCCAACGATGTCATCGGGGAGGCTGTTCCACATGTCGGTGATTCGAAGCGAGAAGAAATTTTGTCGCGTGCATGGAGAAGTTGCAGCGCAGTTTTTTTTAGTTTGTAGTGTTTTATTCATAGTTTATAATGACTGGGGCTTTCTATAAATAGCGATTCCTTTTCCGCTCTTGAGTGAGTAATCCCGACCCAGTTTGAAGCAGGAAGAATGCATATTAGCGTTGATGGATGAAAATGTCATCGTTTGGACGATAGGAAATAACAATTTCTCTGAAATATATTTCTTGTAACGGCAGTCTCATATGGAAAGGAGAGTAGAACAGACAAAATGATCTTAATTCGATTTAAATGTATTACATTTTTGTTCAGAAATGCAAACAATTCAAATTTCTTTCGAATTTCGAAACGAAAATAACCTAGGAATTCGGCTCGTGTGGTGAAGGTGGATTTGAAAGTGTATTTCTCCAGTCAACTTAATTTACATATATCCCTTTTTATAATTAACTTGTTTACCCACGTTTTCGTAGCAACGTTTTCGTATCAACTTAGAAGTGCATTTTATTGACAACATTGCAAACTTAGCTTCGCAGGCACGAATTGTTCGATAAACCTTACTTAAGTTAGTTCAGTATTGCGAAAGTTGAATGTGGTTTGATGTACCTATACTGTATAAGTAAGAATTATTTACGAAAAACCACTACTGGTGGTGTAAGAGCGTTGTTGATATCTTGATGGTAGCTTAAAGTCCTTCTGGATAACATTGATTGGTACTGAGAAATTTTGATAATTCATTTTATTTGCTTAATTCCTTCAGATTCCTCGAGATGAGAACGAACGACATTACGACATATGGGTGACTAAATGAAGCGCTTGTGGTGGTGATGTTGGAGGAGGTGCATCGCTGCCAGCCGTACGATGACCTTGATGGTGATGGAACCTGTTTTCTTGTAGAACTGACGACAAAAGCGGCGACTACAGCAACGAAAACAGCAACAGTGGAACAGGAAGATCAGCAACAACAGAGCAGCGACAACAGCAACAATAGAGCAGCGACAACAGCAACAATAGAACAGCAGCAAGAAAGCAGCTATTACAGCAACAGTGGAACAGGAAAAACAGACAAGTACAAACGATTGATATACGGTGTACGCGCCTATGTATGGAACAAACATGTACAACCGATTGTACCCACAGGCCAAATATCTTTAGTGGGCTACACACCTATAGTTCATACCCACAAGTACAGTACCTTGAAAGAGCACTCTTATGTTCGTCAAGACCTTAAAACAGTACTACAGCTGAGTACACTACTACGAGTAGAGCACCTTTGTAGTTTTCAACCATAAGTACAGTACCCCGAAGATACCACCTCTATACAGATACCACCCTCTATACAGATATCACCCTCTATACAGTTACCACCCTCAATAGAGCTATACAGATACCCCCTCTATTCAGATACCACCTCTATACAGATACCACCCTCTATACAGATATCACCCTCTATACAGTTACCACCCTCAATAGAGCTATACAGATACCCCCCTCTATACAGTTACCACCCTCAATAGAGCTATACAGATACCACCCTCTATACAGATACCACCCTCTATACAGATACCACCCTCTATACAGATACCACCCTCTATACAGATACCACCCTCTATACAGATACCACCCACTATACAGATACAACCCTCTATACAGATGCCACCCTCTATACAAATACCACCCTCTATAGAGCTATACAGACACCACCCTCTATACAGACACCGCCCTCTATATACTCCACTTTATATTTTATACCCAACAGTTCAACACCCTAGAACTCACGACTCCCCCAGTACACCCCGGCACCCACAGCACCCATTATACCCAACAGTTCAACACCCTAAAGCTCACCCCCCAGTACACCCCCCGGTACCCACAACACCCATTATACCCAACAGTTCAACACCCTAGAACTCACCCCTCCCCCCAGTACACCCCCGGCACCCACAGCACCCACCTTGAAGCGTCCCTCCAGCACGGGGGGCTGGGCGTAAGGTATGCCCAGGAACACGGACACGTTCATGACAGGTCGCTGCAGGTCCAGCGCCAGGTTAGCAGGTCGCTCGTCGAACCGCAGGTCTGGCTTGTCGTAGAGGTAGACGTAGAAACCCTGCACCTTGCCACTGTTGGTCTGGACGAACATGTTCTCCGCCAGTGGTAGATGAATGCCTGTGGGTAGACAGGAGGTAGATGAATGCTTGTGAGTNTCTCCGCTAGTGGTAGATGAATGCCTGTGGGTAGACAGGAGGTAGATGAATGCTTGTGAGTAGACAAGGGGTAGATGAGTGCCTGCAAGTAGACGAAGGGTAGATGAATTCCTGTGAGTAGACAAGAGGTAGATAAATGCCTGTGACACGTCAAGTGACGTGCGTGACGTGCGTGACGTGCGTGACGTGCGTGACGAGCGTGACGTGCGTGACGAGCGTGACGTGCGTGACGAGCGTGACGTGCGTGACGTGCGTGAGGTGCGTGACGTGCGTGACGTGCGTGACGTGCGTGACGTGCGTGAGGTGCGTGACGTGCGTGACGAGCGTGACGTGCGTGACGTGCGTGAGGTGCGTGACGTGCGTGACGTGGCGCGGCTCTCGTAAAAGTTACGAGCGAAAAACAAGCGGCGCTGAAGCTGTAAGAACTGCAGCGGCTCAGCAACGGCAACTGGAGCAGCAATGGAGCTGGGAGAACTAGCGTCTACCTAGCGTCTACCCTCCACCTAGATGTAGCACTCATCTACCAAACGTCTACCCTTCACCTAGATGTAGAACTCATCTACCTAGCGTCTATCCTCTACTTAGATGTAGCTAGAACATCTACCTAGCGTCCACCCTTCACCTACATGTAGCCCTCATCTACCTAGCGTCTACCCTCCATCTAGATGTTGCCCCATCTACCTAGGGTCTACACTTCACCTAGATGTAGCCCTCATCTACCTAGCGTCTACCGTCCATCTAGATGTTGCTCCATCTACCTAGGGTCTAGACTTCACCTAGATGTTGCCCAAATCTACCTAGCGTCTACCCTCCACCTAGATGTTGCCCCATCTACCTAGGGTCTACACTTCACCTACATGTAGCCCTCATCTACCTAGCGTCTACCCTCCACCTAGATGTTGCCCCATCTACCTACGNTTCTAGAGTTCAATGGATACCAGACAAAACACATTTGAGTGGTGCTTCTAGAGTTCAATGGATACCAGACAAAACACATTTGAGTGGTGCTTCTAGAGTTCAATGGATACCAGACAAAACACATTTGAGTGGTGTTTCTAGAGTTCAATGGATGCTAACCGAAACACATTTGAGTGGAGCCGGGGCTAGTACAGGCATCTGATAAGCGTGATCTATGCTTTATTCTAGGAAACTGTTCAACTGTGACAAATTCATCACTCATCACTCATAATTTGTACATAAGTCCAGGCTATTCCAAATTTCTGATTTCATTCGTGGAATAAGGGCGAATTCAGAGTCAGGGGTTCTAGAGCGCGTCGTAAAAAAGGTCCGTCCGTAATAAGGGTAGTTGGCAGTCTGAATTCGAGTTAGTCACATAACTAAAGTTACGTTCCGTTTTTCTTTTTTCAAACCGGTAAGTTGTGAAAGTGTTCGATAAAAGTGATCTTCGAGACGAGCAACCCAGAGTATTTGTTTCAAGTTTACCAGAGCAACTGTTCATTGCGCCATCTTCTAATTATGTTTAATTTTTTACTATTGCATATTTCTCTGTATATTGCTTTGTATGACTGATGCTTGCATTTCGTTGTACGAAGTCATTTGAACTTTCAAAGTAATTTTTACATCTGAAGGATATGGATAGTGATTGAGGCTAAAATGTTCAATGTAATTCAAGTTCCAAATTCAAATTTTAACATAAATGCAATTTACTGACGTTTGTCAAAATTTATTATGTAAGCAATTCAAGTCTCTTAGCGCAAGTAGCGCGGTAACAATAACATAAATGGTTTTCTTTTTTACAAATAATGACAGCAATAAAACCTTAGGGTTGTAGTTCCACGTGAAACATTTCATTAATTGATGAACCTCTATAAACTCTTCCACCGAATTTGTTAGAACGGCCAACAATATAAGTATATATTTTCATTACCTTGTTGCGTTCAACATCATAGAGCATCTGCTACCAATTTTCTTCGTCACAATTACGTCGTCATTCCTTCACATCAACAAATAACCGAGCCAAGCTGCTGGATCAACCCAATATAGAATAGAATAGAAGTGTCGGCGTTGAAGAAATAGGCCCATGGCCTGTTGCCGATTCTTGAACTTTTCGTGACTTGATTCACAAGGGATCAGGCCTTTGGAAGCCGATCTTTCCATAGCTGACGATTGATTGAGATACCTGCTGGATTTATTGCCTGGTCCGCTAGTAGTATACGCATCGCATTTCTTTATTCCATTTCCATATAATTTATTTTGGATTCGGCACTTGGAAAAACTGATCATATTGAAAATTAAATCTACATGTGACGCTGAATTTTGAAAACAAAATTGTATTTTCGAGTATGATGTAATAGTAACATGATTAACTTGAACGTTGAACTTTTTATGATTATTTTATTAAGGTGGACAGATGGGACCCAAAGGTCCTATGAAAACTGAGGGACTTGCTAGAGGTACCATAAATGAGTGGTCTGTCAGAGGTACCATAATTGAGTGGTCTGTGAGAGGTACCATAAATGAGTGGCCTGTCTGAGTGGTCTGTGAGATGTACCGTAAATGAGTGGTCTGTCTGAGTTACCATAAATGAGTGGTCTGTCTGAGTTACCATAAATGAGTGGTCTGTCAGAGGTACCATAAATGAGTGGTCTGTCAGAGGTACCATAAATGAGTGGTCTGTCAGATGTACCATAAATGAGTGGTCTGCCCGAGGTACCATAAATGAGTGGTCTGTCGTCAGAGGTACCATAAATGAGTGGTCTGTGTCAGAGGTAGCATAGATGAGTGGTCTGTCAGAGGTCCCATAAATGAGTGGTCTGTCAGGGGTACCATAAATGAGTGGTCTGTCAGAGGTACCATAAACGAGTGGTCTGTCAGAGGTACCATAAACGAGTGGCATGTCAAATGTACCATAAATGAGTGGTATGTCAGAGGTACCATAATTGAGTGGTCTGTCAGAAATGATTTCAAAACCTGGCAGAGGTACCATAAATAGCAGAAGTACGTACCAGAGGCACTATACATATATGAAATTCGGGCCAGAAATATTTAAAAAAACTGAAAGGCATGACAGAGACACAATAAATAACTGAAAGGCATGACAGAGACACAATAAATAACTAAAGGCCTGACACAGACACAATAAATAACTAAAGATCTGACAGAGACAATAAATAACTTAAAGGCATGACAGAGACAAAATAAATAATTGAAAGGCATTCAAGAGACACTATAAATAACTGAATGGCCTGACAGAGACACAATAAATAACTGAAAGGCATGACAGACTACAGAATAACTGGAATGCATGACAGAGTCACTATAAATAAATGAAAAGCATTAAAGAGTCAAAATAAATAACTTGAACTTGAAGACTTGCCAGAAGCACGAAGACCTCACCTGGAACTTTGCCCGGGCGCATCTCGCCCTGCAGATCTGGACGCCAGTGGTCCAGCACGCCAATCTGGGCCTCCCTGTCGCCGTCCAGCTTGCTCCTCCTGTCTTCATACCCTGGACGGAGGGCGCCGCGGGCGTCGTACATGCCCTGAGTGAGGTAGCGCCCGTCGCCACCGTAGCGCAAGTGGTTCGTGTAGCGATTCTCATTCTCGTATCGGTTATCGAAACCACGACGATCGTTGGGCTGGTCGTAAGTACCATATCTTCTGTTGGTGCCGTGGTAGGTATCACCTGATCGGTAACCACCTATAGAGGGATTAGGGGTTGTGTAGGGTTGCCAACCACGTACGCGGGGTTGCGCATCCCGACTACGATAGTCCTCAGGGTCTTGTTCGTTTCTGAACTGTGCAACCGAGGGTTGCAGTAGCGCGACTACGAGTAGCAACAACAACATCGTCGTGTACAAAGACATTCCATCCGTTCTCATTATTCTAATATTTGCAACATTTGACTGAGCTACCAAACATTTTGCAACGCCTACTCGAGTCATGTTTTGTGTATCACTCCCAAGCACACTGCAAATCACTATGTTTTGGTAAACATCCGGGATGGTATAGAGATATCGAGTAGCATCTCTTAGCTTGGAGCACGCCACACCTCCTCTCACAACGGCTCAGCGGACACTGACTAGCATACCTGAGAAAGGTAGGCAAGCTGGTGCACGGAGACCATCATCAACACAAGGTCACGCCTCTACTGAATGCAGCTTTCAGTTCAATTCACTGTGAATAACTCGAAACCTGACAAACTTGAATGATGAACTTATTAACAATCATTATTTTTCCAGGGTTTGTGGAATAATATAACGAGGTGACTCACACAAAATAAGGCCAGGCAGCCGTATCTCTGTATTTTGATAACGAAAGATAAGAGAGTCGTGGGTGTCCATAAGGGCCAGACTCGCGTGCCACTTCAGCGAGCTAACGTGGCCGCTAGAGGGCGGGTCGAGTCCACGCCCTGGCGTTCAAATCTCTGTAGTGATCTTCAAACTAAACCATCTTAGTCTACTCATGACAATGATTTATTGGCAAAAAAACGTTGGACTGTTGCTAAATTATTATTAATATCATGACACGAGAATTATATAGATAGGTATCGTGTTTAACAGGCCCTCGTTGGACGTTTCAGCGACCACTGAACGACGCAGGCTACAACGCGCGATCGTTACGATATTGGCAGCAACGATGCGAACAAGTCTGGGGGCAAATAATGAAAGAAATGGGTAACAAAATAGCAGCATTTAGGCAGTTAATATTAACCTAACAGTATAATTTCTCAAAGGGTTGAAAGGTTCATTCGAGAGGTCATAATGAGGGAAGTCAATGCAGACGTGATTAGTAGGTAGCAATAACACAGCCGATAGTTATTAAGAGTTTAGTGTGTATTGAGAGTTACACAAAGTCAAGAACATACAAATTTATTTTGATACATCAGTGCTCTGGCTTAATGATAGTTAACTGCGAGATTAGTATATAAAGTGCATGAACTTACGCACACGACATCTATTGACGCACATACACACCACTTGACGCAACCATACGCACACACACCACTTGACGCAACCATACGCACACACACCACTTGATGCAACCATACGCACACGCACCACTTGACGCAACCATACGCACACAAACACGTCCAGTCGTCTCTTGAAAGTATGCAGGTTGAAACTTCACCCTCCCCCTCCCCTCCTCGTCCGGTTATTATTTCCCATGTGTACAGAATGAAAATTATTATAATTATAATTAAGTATTATCTCCCTTGTCTGCTCTCCAGGGTCAACTCACCCCCGTGGTCAACTTTGTCAAAAGCTTTCGCTAAGTAACAATAAACTTCGTCCACATGCACCGGCCTCTCCCATGACAAGAATTTTGTGGTGATGCTCCAAAAACTGGGAGAAACTGCAGAGGTTTCATCTAAAACCGTGTTGCCTTCTGTTGAAAAGGTCAGCTTCTTCCATGTACTGCACCAACCTTCTGGCAAGAACCTTCTCAAATACTTTGATTACGTGTGATGTTAATGTGACCGGCCTGTAATTTGGGGTTAGTCTCTCGCACCTCCTTTGTAGATAGGGGTAATTAGCCCTAATTTTAGGTCACTTGGAATATTTCCTTCTCTCAATGATGTTTTCCATAGCAAAGTCAGAGGGATCTTTAGTGCACCGACACATTTTTTCAGTAATACTGCCGGGACCCCATCTGGCCCGGGAGCCGAGTACGTAGATAATTCTTGTGTACTTCTCTCTAGATCCGGCGTTTCAAACTGAACTCTCATCAACACCCGGACTTGTATTTCATTCACTTGTCCTCGGCAGACATAAGCCATACACCTACACATAATACAGACACACACACACGCCTACACACTCAGACCCACACTTTCACACACCCCCACACATACACGCCATCTGTGTTTACGAGTACAGCAATAATAACGCTGGATAACAACTGACATGTCACGACACAACACAGAGCAAATACTGTTTGCTGATACCAGCGCACCGTTGGTGTGTTACGCGCACCACGCATGGTTGCCAGGTGGTGCACGTGGCGCTAGTGGTGCGTGCACCACCTGGTATCATGTCGAGGCGCACCAGCTGCACCATAACGCACCATGACAACTACAACCACTACACACGATGGGTTAAGGCCACCACCAGTCCGTAACACTACCAAACGCAACCATACGCACACGCACCACTTGATGCAACCATACGCACACGCACCACTTGACGCAACCATACGCACACGCACCACTTGACGCAACCATACGCACACACACCACTTGACGCAACCATAAACACACACACACCACTTGACGCACCCATAAGCACACACACCACTTGACGCAACCATACGCACCACGCACTTCGTTTCTTGTCGCTGTCTCAGGCCCCGCTGAAGCACCGCCTTCGTATTCTGCCGCCTCAGCTCCGAGAGCAAGGGGCCAATCCATGACAGCCACGCATCTTGCTAAAGTTGGTCCAGCTACTGCACGACGGCACGATACTTAGTTCCTTAGTATTTGTTTGGGACATAGCAGTCCCAGGCCACGATGGATCACCGCCTCTGATTATCGTTCATCCGCCCTCAGTTGGGCCACCTGATGCACGATGCTGTTGCTTGCTTCTCGCCGCTGGTAGTGTTGCAAGGGATGTCGATCGATACTGCACGATGGCACAATACTGCACGACGGCACGATACTGCACGATATACTGCTTGCTTCTTGCCTATCGTACATGGCAGGGGCGGGCGATAAAGGATCGTTGCGGAGAACACGTCCAGTCGTCTCTTGAAAGTATGCAGGTTGAAACTTCACCCTCCCCCTCCCCTCCTCGTCCGGTTATTATTTCCCATGTGTACAGAATGGAAATTATTATAATTATAATTAAGTATTATCTCCCTCGTCTGCTCTCCAGGGTCAACCCTCCCCGAGGTCAACTTTGTCAAAAGCTTTCGCTAAGTAACAATAAACTTCGTCTACATGCACCGGCCTTTTCCATGACAACAATTTTGCGGTTTTGCTCCAATAACTGAGAGAAACTGCAGCGGTTTCATCTAAAACCGAGTTGCCTTCTGTTTAAAAGGTCAGCTTTCTTCATGTTCTGCACCAAGCTACTTGCAAGAACCTTCTCAAATACTTTGATTACGTGTAATGTTAAATGTAACAGGCCTGTAATTTGGGGTTTGTCTCTTGCACCTCCTTTGTAGATAGGGGTAATTAGCCCTAATTTTAGGTCACTTGGAACAAGTGACCTAACTTCCTTCTCTCAATGATGTTTTCTAGAGCAAAGTCAGAGGAGCCTTTAGTGCACCGACACATTTTTTTCAGTAATACTGCCGGGAGCCGGATACGTCGAAAACTCTTGCGTACTTCTCTCTTGATCCGGCGTTTCGAACTGAACTCTCATCAACACCCGGACTTGCATTTCATTCACTTGTCCTCGGCAGACATAAGCCATGCACCTACACATACTACAGACACACAAGCGCCCCACACACTCAGACACAGTCCACACACACGCCACACACCCTCACACACACGCCACACACCCTCACACACACGCCATCTGTGTTTACGAGTACAGCAATAATAACGCTGGATAACAACTGACATGTCACGACACAACACAGAGCAAATACTGATTGCTGATACCGGCGCACCGTTAGCGTGTTACGCGCACCACGCATGGTTGCCAGGTGGTGCACGTGGCGCTAGTGGTGCGTGCACCACCTGGTATCATGTCGAGGCGCACCAGCTGCACCATAACGCACCATGACAACTACAACCACTACACACGATGGGTTAAGGCCACCACCAGTCCGTAACACTACCATCATCATCACCAGTCCACACCATCACCACCACCAGTCCACAACACCACCAGTCCACAACACCACCACCACCAGCAGTCCACAACACCACCACCACCAGTCCACAACACCACCACCACCACCAGTCCACAATACCACCATCACCAGTCCACAACACACACTCAAATAAATAAGCAAGACTCTGTCCAAAAAGCGATGCACTGTGCAGATAAACCTAAGGGCGTATCAGTGCTACGCCACTACAGGTAAGACGTGCGTCACTATTATGACAAGGACTCGCTCATATCTTTGAGTGTGCAGTCAACAGCACAAACCTCACAACAGCACAAACCTCACAACAGCACAAAGATCCACTAAGCACAGCTACCACACTTAATATCATCATAGCAACATATAAAACTTTGCATAAATATTAATAAAATATCGATTGAAATCGATTTTGTGTTAGACCGGCGCAACGGTACAAGTTCAGAGCTAAAATTAAACTTGAAAATTAAATTTAATAATTAAATAATAGAGAAATTCTTCTCCTGTGCTAGAAATTGAAAGAACTTAGGTTAAAACTTTGGTTCGATAGAATAAAATTGTTAATATTATATAATGAGGAACATAAGAGGCTTAAGAACGATGCGTTGTGCTGTTCACTTCACATTACTGTTCTTGTACGCAACTCTGAACAGTACAAGAACATCAGGAACCTTTCGTTGTGCTCCGTGCTCAATAGTAATCGTTATCAATTATTGCATTACAATTCGTAGACGTCAAATGAAATTTAACCTGTAGTACAACCTGTAGCACAACTTTTAGTACAACCTGTAGTAAGGAATATTTTCATACATTCTTGCACATACATCTTGACGAGGTTCATGTATGAAGCAACATTCTTACGTAAACACCTGACAATGATAGGCACTCATCCCCCCAACCCATGAACCCATCCCCCAAATAATCCTCCAACCCATCCCCCGAACCCAGACTCCTTCCCCATCACGAACTATTATTTATTTATTATTCCCCATCTTCCCCATCACGAACTACTGGCACGAGCACAGCAAGCGAAGGCGGGAAAAAGTGAATTTGATTCCCTGAGTATAGATCCCTTACGTGAGGGTAGTGACCCTCCACGTGAGGGTAGTGACCCTTCACGTGAGGGTAGTGACCCTTCACGTGAGGGTAGTGACCCTTCACGTGAGGGTAGTGACCCTTCACGTGAGGGTAGTGACCCTTCACGTGAGGGTAGTGACCCTTCACGTGAGGGTAGTGACCCTTCACGTGAGGGTAGTGACCCTTCACGTGAGGGTAGTGACCCTTCACGTGAGGGTAGTGACCCTTCACGTGAGGGTAGTGACCCTTCACGTGAGGGTAGTGACCCTTCACGTGAGGGTAGTGACCCTTCACGTGAGGGTAGTGACCCTTCACGTGAGGGTAGTGACCCTTCACGTGAGGGTAGTGACCCTTCACGTGAGGGTAGTGACCCTTCACGTGAGGGTAGTGACCCTTCACGTGAGGGTAGTGACCCTTCACGTGAGGGTAGTGACCCTTCACGTGAGGGTAGTGACCCTTCACGTGAGGGTAGTGACCCTTCACGTGAGGGTAGTGACCCTTCACGTGAGGGTAGTGACCCTTCACGTGAGGGTAGTGACCCTTCACGTGAGGGTAGTGACCCTTCACGTGAGGGTAGTGACCCTTCACGTGAGGGTAGTGACCCTTCACGTGAGGGTAGTGACCCTTCACGTGAGGGTAGTGACCCTTCACGTGAGGGTAGTGACCCTTCACGTGAGGGTAGTGACCCTTCACGTGAGGGTAGTGACCCTTCACGTGAGGGTAGTGACCCTTCACGTGAGGGTAGTGACCCTTCACGTGAGGGTAGTGACCCTTCACGTGAGGGTAGTGACCCTTCACGTGAGGGTAGTGACCCTTCACGTGAGGGTAGTGACCCTTCACGTGAGGGTAGTGACCCTTCACGTGAGGGTAGTGACCCTTCACGTGAGGGTAGTGACCCTTCACGTGAGGGTAGTGACCCTTCACGTGAGGGTAGTGACCCTTCACGTGAGGGTAGTGACCCTTCACGTGAGGGTAGTGACCCTTCACGTGAGGGTAGTGACCCTTCACGTGAGGGTAGTGACCCTTCACGTGAGGGTAGNGAGGTTAATCTGATGGTGAAACGTTTGGTGGTTAATTTAAAAAATTGGTGGTGACAGGTTTGTTTGGTCCAGCATCTACCTATGTAGGAAATGTCCATTGTAAATGATGAATGATGTGAGGGGAGAGTGATGTGAGGGGAGAGTGATGTGAGGGGAGAGTGATGTGAGGGGAGAGTGATGTGAGGGGAGAGTGATGTGAGGGAGTGAAGATACGGGTATGATGAGAATGATAGAAACCGATTACTAACTTAAAATGTTCTGGGAAGAGATGAACGCTCAACAAGAAATTATATCTTTGGTCGCAATGATCATCATCATTGTAATCATGTACTACTGGTAGTACCAGTACAGTACCACCAGACTGCAGGGTACATGGTAGCTGCCTTGTGTGTAGTACTGCAGTACCAGTACAGCACCACCAGACAGCAGGGTACATGGTAGCTGCCTTGTGTGTAGTACTGCAGTACCAGTACAGCACCACCAGACAGCAGGGTACATGGTAGCTGCCTTGTGTGTAGTACTGCAGTACCAGTACAGCACCACCAGACAGCAGGGTACATGGTAGCTGCCTTGTGTGTAGTACTGCAGTACCAGTACAGCACCACCAGACAGCAGGGTACATGGTAGCTGCCTTGTGTGTAGTACTGCAGTACCAGTACAGCACCACCAGACAGCAGGGTACATGGTAGCTGCCTTGTGTGTAGTACTGCAGTACCAGTACAGCACCACCAGACAGCAGGGTACATGGTAGCTGCCTTGTGTGTAGTACTGCAGTACCAGTACAGCACCACCAGACAGCAGGGTACATGGTAGCTGCCTTGTGTGTAGTACTGCAGTACCAGTACAGCACCACCAGACAGCAGGGTACATGGTAGCTGCCTTGTGTGTAGTACTGCAGTACCAGTACAGCACCACCAGACAGCAGGGTACATGGTAGCTGCCTTGTGTGTAGTACTGCAGTACCAGTACAGCACCACCAGACAGCAGGGTACATGGTAGCTGCCTTGTGTGTAGTACTGCAGTACCAGTACAGCACCACCAGACAGCAGGGTACATGGTAGCTGCCTTGTGTGTAGTACNCTGTCTCTTATACACATCTAGATGTGTATAAGAGACCCTAACCCCCCTAACCCACCTGCGTGAGGCCCGAGAAGAGGGCCTGGTAGGCGGTGTGTAGACCGGGCCGGCCCCTGGCGCTGTTGTCGGACACGTCGAGCTGGCGGAGGGCGCGGCGGTGGTGGCAGCCCGCCAGCAGCAGCACCTCGGCCTCCGTCAGGCGGCACCCGCTCACCCCCAGGTACGAGAGGGGGGTCACCAGCTCCCCCACCACCCCCATCAGGCCTGCATTACACACACGGCGTCACCACACACACAATACAATCAACTCATCACAACACAAAAATGCATCACAACGCAAACAACACATGACACACAAAATTCATCACAACGCAGCGCAGACAGTTCGTTAAACACAATCAACACACAGCACAACTCAAACAACACACATCAAATTACATCACAACACAATACAACAAGACACCACAATACAACACAATCAGCACACAACACAACTCAATGCAATACACAACAACACAATCAGCACACAACACAACTCAACGTAATACACAACAACACAATCAGTACACAACACAACTCAAACAACGCCATACACAACGAAACACAATCAGCACACAACACAGATCACAACACAATACACAACAACACAACACATCGCAGCACATGACCCAGACCTCTGAGGTCAACATTGGAGAGGTCGAGGGTGTGGAGGGCGGTGAAGGCGGTGAGGGGCGTGAGGTCACTGAGGTCGGGGTGGTTGGGGAGGGCCAGCCCCGTGAGGGAGGGGGCGAGGGGGAGCAGCTCCCCCCAGAACTCCCCCGTCAGGGAGCACATGTTCAGCGTCACGTGACACAGCTCGGGGAACGCGCACAGATCCTGTGGCGGACATTAATAATAAATTAACTTCCTGGCTTGAAAACTCGTTAAAAAAATAATTAGTAAAGATATCATTACCATATAAATTTTAATGAAAGAGAAAATACATGAATTTTTGTATGCGCACAGATCCTGCCGAGGACATTAATAATAAATTAACTTCCTGATTTGAAAACTCATTAAAAAAATAATTAGTAAAGATATCATTACAATATATAAATATTTTAATGAAAGAGAAAACACCTGAATTTTTGAAAACATTTACTGTAAAGATGATATCGAACAAATGACAGCCGCCATTGACAGTATTGGGGGCAGTTAATCAATGACAGTCGAATTTCGAAGTTCTTTTCCACTCGCTGAAACATATTGATGGTTATGTTGGTGATGGCTTGGCATATGTTGTTCTTATAATAAGGTAGAGTCATTGGACAGTTATTGTAAACAAGTGGTTCAAGATAAACCCATAAAAAATCACAGGGAGCCAAATCTGAGGGTTGGGTTGGCCAAAGGTCACCTCTCAAGGAGATAAGGCACTATCGGACTCGATCAATCCTTATCTCAAGGAGATAAGGCGGTGTGCAAAACGTTGTCGCAGGAGGTGAGGACAACGCAGAAACGCCTCTCTCTATTTTTTCGGGTTTTCTATGAGGCCTTTCTACGTTCTATAGAAACTCTATGTCCTCTATCTTCTATGTTTTCGGGTGTTGTGGCAGTTTGCTGACGTCCAAACCCTCTTGCATTCACACTTCCACTTGCCCTAAATTTGTTCACCCACATGGCATAGATTTGCAATCATCACCCGACCTGAAGATCCTGATCGAATCAGGAACCCGACCAAATCGATTTGCAATCAGGAAACGACTCCCCACCTGTACGAGCGTGCCCCAGCAGGAGGGAGGCAGGGACGTGATGTAGACGTGCTTGAGCCCCACCAGGAAGCCTGGGGCTGACGAGGAGCTGACGTCTCTTCTCCTGTCCATGGCCAGCTTGCGCAGCAGCCGCAGCTGACGCTCGTCTGCTGACCCCTCAATCTCCAGGTCCATCGTCAGCTGCACTGCGACATGCATACTTCAGCTTTAATATAATTATCTTACAACATTTCGAATAACATTCTTCTACACCTTAATAAATCAAATAAATTTAACACGATAAATACTCGTCTCAGCCACAACTGACGTTTGCTTGGTCGCCCCACATGAAGCATTTATTTGGTAATACAATAAAAACTTTTTCCTACAATAATGAACCACTGGGGCTCAAACTGGTTCTTAATCCCCTTATCCAATCCAAGGGGGAAGGTTATAGATTTTCCAGGGCTATGGAAGAGTGACGGTAGAAATTCAGAGTACCGTATATGTGAATGTTGAGGACATTATTAAATCGTTTCTAGCCTCATGAAGGGATAAGACCGCAGCCGTAACCAACTGTGCACTTGAAAAAATACACCGAGGGATAATATCCTATCGTCCTTGGACTGTGGGGCGATGCTATTTCCAGGTAAATGTTAATGGATATCGCCCTGGATATTAGTCTCGGAACTCGCGACTTCCACAACAAATTTGGAGCAAGTAACTGAGGAATCACTTAGGCACACAGCAATCCTTAGCAAATGACTCTCTGTAGGTCTGCTTATGTACACTCAATCAAACCATCATTATTACGCTGCAAATAATTAAATATTATTACTAGCATTCATCTACTCCCCCTGCCTACGTAATAAATTAACAAGCTTCCATTAAATATGATCACTTAACCGTACAACAGAGTTGTGTTAGCTTAGCCTCAACAACAAAATATTAACCTCTTGCCTCTGATATAACAATGAAATCCTAGATAAACCAACTTCAATTGAGAGCAGGCATGAACATCGGAGCCATAAGTAATCTGTGTTGTTTTTACTTAATAATTACGTTATTTGTAGTATACAGCTGATAAACTAATTAATAAACGTCATCATCCCCTTGAGGTTGCTCCCGTCATCAGTAACTTTCAGTAGGTTTTTTTAGATTTTTTACTCAATCTAACGTTGACTACATCTTAGCAGACATCATTTTACAGATCATTTATTGTGCGTAATGCATTAAATTTAATAGCATAAATTAAAATAAAGGAGGCAGTATTGCAGAGACTGACGGCCTTGGGATTGCTGCAGGAGGGGGTTGAGCTCCCTGTTGCCGGCGTCGTAGATGGTCTTCAGCGACCAGGTGCTGTCCCGCAGACGGGGGATGCCAGACAGGTCCAGGTGTGGCAGACAGGGCAGCTGTCTGTCGTATAGTCTGCACACAACACAGGCATTAGGTCCAGGTGTGGCAGACAGGGCAGCTGCCTGTCGTATAGTCTGCACACAACACAGGCATTAGGTCCAGGTGTGGCAGACAGGGCAGCTGCCTGTCGTATAGTCTGCACACAACACAGACATTAGGTCCAGGTGTGGCAGACAGGGCAGCTGCCTGTCGTATAGTCTGCACACAACACAGACATTAGGTCCAGGTGTGGCAGACAGGGCAGCTGCCTGTCGTATAGTCTGCACACAACACAGGCATTANGGGCAAGTAAGGGGGTGTGGGGCACGGCAAGTTAGTGGGGTAAGTAAGGGGGTGTGGGGCATGGCAAGTTAGTGGGGGCAAGTAAGGGGGTGTGGGGCACGGCAAGTTAGTGGGGTAAGTAAGGGGGTGTGGGGCATGGCAAGTTAGTGGGGGCAAGTAAGGGGGTGTGGGGCATGGCAAGTTAGTGGGGGCAAGTAAGGAGGTTTGGGGCACGGCAAGTTAGTGGGGGCTGGTGGGTGAATGAATCTTAACTGAATGCTATATTCACTGAGTGGAATATACACGAGGAGAATCTTCATAAGGTGGCAATACCTAGAGGTGAATATCAACAAAAATAAGTGAATATTAGGTTTACATGTTTCAGTAATTTAATGAATATTCAGTATAAATACTATCAGAAAAGTAATCTTACAGAGTTTCCTGATCATTGAAGGATTCGTGATTTAAATATAGGATTTTCCCCCATATTAGCATCTAAGAATTGTCAAATGAGCCTAAAGCTTATTAGTATCTAGGGTTCCTTTGTAGGTAATCAGCTAAACTCAACTAGTAGTAAAACTAATCGACATCAATCCACAAAACAATGAATAAAAGATTCAAAACAATAATGAATAGTGCGAAGAAATTATTTTCAATATCAATAGAACCATAAAGTCATGAACAATACCAAAAAAATCACGCCATTAAAGAGAAATCTAAGAAGTCCATGTGATCACCTAAACCAGCTGGTGTGCTCTACCATTGAAAACTTATTGAAGATATAAAATAGGCTGACAAATTTTTAATAATGTAGAAAAGCACATTCAATTTTTTTCACAAGAACCGGAGCATGAAATTCTTTCACCTAAACCAGCTGGTGTCGAAGAGGTTGTCGATGTTCCTGAGGAATTGGATGAGTGGCAGCGTGGAGTGGATGCAGTGCAGCGACAGCCGTACGATGGCACGGGTCAGGTTGTACTGCAACCGCTGTCCGCTGTTAGCTCGGTCTGTAATGACAAATATTTAAGGTTGATTCCTGAAATATTACCAATTGTTATTATTTACTCTGTATTTGTCTGATTTCAATAGAAGATACACGCGTCATCACAGCAAAATTATATCATAGTACGGTATATAAACATGGAGATAAAATTTTAGTTTTGACGTTAGAATTTCTCAATGTTTAAACTAAGGTAGGAAGGTGGGTCGAAGAATTGCTATTTGATGTAAATTTTGGTAAATGTATACCTAGTCTATTTCACATAAAAATTCAAAACAGCCTTTACATTATTACCTTGATTATACGCATAATATTACATTGGTTATATATTATCACATTGATTAAATAATGTTAGATAATATTTAAATAATAAAAGAAGACTACATCTGTTGGCGAGCTCCTTGACGAGAGCCTCCATGACGAAGTCGAACATGCCCGTGGGGCAGGAGCAGGCGAGGTGCCAGGCGAGGTTGTCTCGTGCCAACACCGCCCGCACGCTCAGCTCCTTTAAGCTCTCAAGCTTCACCTGCACATACATAAAAGCCTTATAAAAAACTGATAACACAACTTTATTCGAAGAGAAGAAAAAAATGGGTAAGACAACTTTAATAAAAAACTTTTTTACTAGATGTTAAACTCGCATGCTCAGCTTCTTCAGGCTCTCAAGCTTCACCTGCACATACATAAAAGCCTTATAATTAACACTGATGACACAACTTTATTTGAAGAGAAGAAAAAAAAACTGACAAGACAACTTTAATAAAAAAACTTTTTTACTAGATGTTAAACTCGCACACTCAGCTCCTTTGAGCTCTCAAGCTCCACCTGCACATACATAAAAGCCTTATAATTAACACTGATGACACAACTTTGAATCTCAACCTATTCTTTTTCAAACAGGCATCTGTATGTAATATGCATAAGTACAGCTGGTAGTTCAATTTTAAATTTAGTTTGATTTAATCCCACACACACACACAACTAAGTATCGGCATTAAGAATGTAAATACAATTGTAAATCTCACTATTATATTTCACACACACAAACTAGTCTTCTAATAAGCCTGGTAATGAACATTCCAAGTCTCACTCTATTATTGTTCACATACACTCAAAGTAAAACTTGTGTAGGTATTACGGTATAGGTATATATCCGACATTAGATTCCTTTCCATTAAAAAATTAAAATTCTACAATTGAAGGCCAGCACTTAGAAGAATAATCACAGAATATCCTATAAAATACCTACCGTATCACATGACAGAAAAATATTCTTGTCCCTTACAATGAAGTTGTGGGTCAAAGAAGTCTAGTATAAATTTAGCGCAAACAACAAGATAGCATTATCTTTACTGGGAACCTTATTAGTAACAGTTATTTCCAGGGGAACCTAGGGAAACCATATTTAAGCAACTCGCAAGTAACACTGATATTATTATTCATAACTACTCGAGTCTGTTGAGACTTGAGGATGAGTGAGCTAATTTGTGATTTGAATACATCAGTAATTGTATGAAGGTGCTGCGACATCATTGTTTGGTGATGCAATGCATCACCTTTATTACACATGGTGTTGGGTCATCACCTTCATTACACATGGTGTTGGGTCATAACCTTTATTACACATGGTGTTGGGTCATCACCTTCATTACACATGGTGTTGGGTCATATTTGCATTAAAATAATTTGTTGGTAATTTTATAAATTGATTCATGCACTTATAATAGAATTTTGTTTAGGATTACCATGGTGTTGTGACAATTTAGTACAGTAACATAGACTAAAATGATGAAAGAACCTGGTTATCATTTCATCACAGTGTAAAGTTAATGAAAATCAGCTTAAGTTAATTACTTCATCATTGCTTATATTCACTCAAGAACTAATCAATTAATGAAATAATGTCAAAATAAAATTTAGAACCTGATTGTCTTCCTGTATCATCATTGTTTATATTCACTCAAGAACCCATTAATGAATCAATGTCAAAAGTAAGGTAAGAACCTGATTGTCTTCCTGTATTGGTTGTTTGGAAGTGAGGATCTGCTTGAGGTCGTTGTAGAGGATGTTGCGGTGCGGCCACTGGTGCCTCACACGCATAGCCATTGACACCCACGACCCAGAGCAAGGACTTCTTGGTTCCTGAAATCAGTAGAAATAAAGTCAAGGGAGTCATATTGTATGCCAACATTTGTTCAATAACTCAAGTTGAAATTCTTAACACAGGCCATTGTGAACTACATACATTTTACTTTTTTTGCATATTAATGTGATTTTACCAGTGATACTTATCATAAAATGTGGTGACTTGAACCATTTTTACTGCTTACATTACCAGTATGCAATACAAATAGTGACATAATGAATAAATAAGATATATCTTAATTGTATTTGTAGGTTACCGGTATCTCAAGACACATCAAGAGCCATCAACACAATTTTCCTAAGGCAAGAATTTTTCAAGTATTTTCAAGGCAAGGTATTATTTCTTTAAATGTTAAAATGGTCCAAGTCACAGCAATTTAAATTAAAATATATTAGGTTTACAAAATAACTGGAAAAAACACATCTAGGTTTTTGAACAAATGAAAAGTTCAACTTACATCTCCAAGAAGGGCATGATAAAGCATGATTAGGAGAGAAGCTCTAGATAGATAAAAGTAAGGCTATGTGGGAAACTGGTGTTAGGAAAGAACCATAGAGTCAGAGAGATAACAGACATAATGTGCAGTGCAAGGACAGTACATAGTAGGTATATACGGTATACAATTTGCATTAGCTGCATTGAGTTGTACGATGAAAACCTACTTAAGGCCAAAATTCTGATACCTAACCTAGGTACCGGTATATCAGCAAACCATGAGATTTTTTAGAAACCAGTACATTTCTAATTTCCTGATCTACTTCAAGATTTCTTCCAATATCTTAAGACTTGATGTTTGTTAGTGATGATATCCAGACTAATTTCTTGTCAACTTGAAGCATTCAATAGGGAAGGTCAACAAAAATAGCTACCAGTATATGACAAAATGAATTCTAATCCAGAATGTCAACTTGAGGATATCCTGACAATGTGACTATAACCTAGTAATAATCTATATTTTCTTGACAAATGCAAGAGCAGTTGACAGACTTGTAGATGACATTGATTTAATCAATAAAAACTAAAGCTAAATTTTTGCCTCAACAACACTTGATGCATGCACTCATACTGCATGCAACAGCTGAGCTGTTTCTAACATATAACAATAAATATTCATTTCCTAATATTTATTTGATTACTTGACTTACCTCCATAATAGTTTTTTCTTGATCGTAAAGAAGGCACTGCAGCCAATTACTCCTAAATTTATTCAACTGATTATAAAACTATGGAATGATTCTAGGAGAGGCATGAAATGATACAAGATAAACGTTGGAAATCCAGTCTTAGATTCAACCCAAAACTAAACTTTACAAGGAGAACAGCCGATTGCCATAGTTTGATTATTAATGAAAAACAAAACAAGACACAGTAATCATGTCCTAACTCCTAAGAAATTAGACCATTGAGCTCAAAAACAAACGCTCTTGTACACACATCATCACATGCATTCTAAAAAGATAGTTTTCAGTTTTTTTCCTCAAAATTTGTGTACCTATATATAGATGTAGTTTTTATTAAAATGTGAGCCTTTCAGGGCTTTCACTTAGGCATATGCACATTATTCCTCATTATTCAAAAAAAATTCAAGTCAATTATAGGTATTTATCTGCTAAAGACTTTATAATATATGACTAGAGCCCATTAAATTATTTTTTTACTATCAGCCTTTGTTGAGTAGTTAAGAGAGTCTATGTTAATATTTATGTCAATTTTTAGTTCAGTAGTCAAAATATCTATTGGTTACAAGACAAAAATCTATGAAATTGTCTAACATCATTTCACATTTTCATACACTTGACTGAGCCTCTGAGGGCCTAACTATCTACCGTACTAAGCATGTACCATTTGCATCCACCTCTCTGTCCACCTTGTGCTTTGCACTGTACCTTACTGCAATTTACTGGTCTACTTATATGACTCAAAATTGAACTTGAGGAAGAGTCTAAAACTCTGCTTAGGCTTAGCCACTATCAGTTCAGACTTCAGACTACAGAGTCACAGACAGACAGCCACTGTGCAGAGAGTGGATGAATATTGCAAGATCTTTGGCGACGCTTCAGTAGCAAAATTTACGACTAATAAGTTTGTGGCTTGTAAATAGTTTTTCATTACTCAGCATAAAAATGTAAATGGTTAATGGCTTTTCATTAAAAATCACCAGGCGACGCATCTTAAAATTACCCGGCAACGCTTAGGGCTCAAAAACCCATATATTGGTGACGCTGCATCCACCCTCTGCACCCTGGTTTTATCTTAACACTTCTGCTCCAATTTGGATTTCTGTCTGTCACAGTGTCACACTCATCTCACACAAAGAGGTGGTTGTAACTTGTAGTATAATCATAATAATGCTTGTAAGTTGTAGGTACTTGTTGTGTGGAAGAGGAAACAAAAGAATTGGGCACTGATTAGGTTCATACTTTATGGTCATACTCAAGTTCATAGGGTCCCCACCCCCCAGTCCCCACTCCCTGGGGCCCTGGTGTTCACTGTTCATGAGTGTTCACCATGCTGCATCTCAGCACTGCTGAGAGGAGTC